GGCTGGAGAAAGTCAACAGGGCCATGTGAATGGCTCCTCGCAAATGACACATCGGTGCTGGGAAACATCAGCGAGGCTCTTCTGCTCCCAGACGATCCTTCCATCTCTCTCCAGGGCACTTCCTCTTGTGTTCCACACTGGCCAGTTTAAATCTTTTCCACCACTCACTCCTGCGCCCTGATGCCTTAGCCTCAGGAGTTGACCTCAATGTTCTCTTAATCAAGGTCATCAAATATGAGCACCCTTCTCTCCACCTCCCAACACCTCCATCCATTCCTCTCTTTCTATCCTTCCACCTCAAAGGTTGGAGCATTCTTTTCCTTCCCAAGACTTTAGAATTTACTCCATCATCCCCAATTCAGCACTTTTTTTCCATTGGCTGCACCATCTCAGCCAAAAACAAAACAAAACTTCTTCAAGTATCTGGACCTCCTCCAAGTCTGACAGTGATGCAGCTGCTCCTTTATTTAATCACTCATTCACTTGTCCACTCATTTAAGAAACTTTTTTTTTTGAGACAGGGTCTCACTCTGTCACCCAGGCTGGTGTGCAGTTGTGTGATCACAGCCTGCTGCAGCCTCAACCTCCCAGGTTCAAGCAATCCTCCCACCTCAGCCTCCTGAGTAGTTGAGACTACAAACGGGCAACACTACGCCCAGCTAATTTTTTTATTTTTTGTAGAGATGGGATCTGACTATGTTGCCCAGGCTGGTCTCAAACAAATTCCTGGGCTCAAGGTTTTCTGCCTTGGCCTCCCAAAGTGCTGGGATTATAGGTGTAAGCTACCATGCCCAGCCAAAAAACATTTGTCGAGTGCCTACTATGTGCCAGGCATTGGGGGTAGAGAGATGAATAGAGGCCATCTTTGCCCTCAAGTGTCTTCAAAGTCCAGAGGGAGAGTCAGACTCACAAGCAGATGATGGTAATGTGACAAGTGAGATGCAAAGATGGGCCATGGCTGACACAAGATTAACGAGGCGTGTGATGGAAAGAAGAGGGAACCCTAAAATGACTCTCAGCTTCCTGGTTGGTGCAAGTGGGTGGATGCTAGTGCTGTTCACTGACACATGAGACAAGAAAAATGGAAGGAGGGGCTAGGTGTCCAGGAAGATACTGTGTTCTGGCTGGAGTATGATGAATCTGAGAAACTATTAGAACATCTCGTTAGAAATCTCCAACAAATCTTTAGCTCAGGGGAGAGAGAAGTCTGAACTAGAATTAGAGTTGAGAACCATCAGCATATGGGATCTGGAATCACGCATGTTTATGAGGTGCTTACTGCTTCAAGTAACAATGATTACACTATAACGGCATTTGTTATCACACGTCTTACGTAGTCAAGAGATGGGCAGTTCTGGGGTTGGATAAGTTGGCAACACAATGATGGCATCTCTAACCCAGGTGCCTTCTATGGTTCCTCTATGCCACCTCAGGGGGATGTGGTCATCCTCAGCCTTGTCCCTTTGTGGTTGCAAGACAGCTGCTCTACCCTCTCACAACCCCATTCAAAGGTAAGGATGAAGCTTTCTTCTTGCACATTAACTTTTATCATGGAGGAAATCCTTTATCTTTAGCCAACAGACATGTCCTTGGATTTCACTGGCCATAACTGCATCTTTAGGCCAACGAGAATGGGATTATACGGTAGCTTACACCTTGTGTGATTCATCTCCGGTGGCAGTGGAGAGGTTCATCTTCCTGGTGCACGCTGCTGCCCAATGCCTGAACTAAACTGAGGTCCTATGAGCAAGGAAGAAGAGGTGGCCTCTTTTCAGTCCTCATCCTCTTCCAAACCTTGGCTGACCTGATAGTGTTGACTTGACCCAAACACAGTTCAGCAGGGTCTACATGAGGAGCTTGAGTTCCTAAGTCAAGCATATCTGGGTTCATGTCCTAGAGCCACCTTGAGCTAGCTGTGTGAATTTATATGAGTTATCTTATCTGAGTGCCTGAGTTTCCTCACTTGTGGAATGGGGATATTACAGGTCTTTTGTTATTGGCTGTTGAGATGGTGAAATGACATAATGCATACAAAGCATTTAGCACAATGCATAGCACAGAGAAGTGCTCAGCAAAACCTAAGTGCTCAGCAACATTTTGGGTGGACAACTCTCTCCTTCAAATCCTCTAGCCCTTTGTTTTAAGGCCTCCTCCTTTTTCTCTAACTCATTCCTCTTCTTCTCCTCCTATTTCCTCTCTTCCAAGGTTTGCTTCTCTGTCCTATGTCTTGTCTCATGGCTCGCGTCATTCCTCTTTCCTGAAATTCTTTATACCCCTCCTGAGTATTCCATGGCCACCTAGTCTCATCTTGGGGCCTGATGACACTGCCCCAGCACCTTGGACTGGATGACCCCACAGCCTTTGCATGAGATGCTACCTTAAAAACAGCCACTGGAGGCTGGGCATGGTGGCTCACACCTGTAATGCCAGCACTTTGGGAGGCCAAGGCAGGCAGATTGCCTGAGGTCAGGAGTTTGAGACCAGCCTGGCTAACATGGTGAAAACCTGTCTCTATTAAAAATACAAAAATGAGCCAGGCATGGTGACACATGCCTGTAGTCCCACCTACTCAGGAGGCTGAGGCCGGAGACTTGCTTCAGCCTGGGAGGTAGAGGTTGCAGTGAGCCGAGATCGTGCCACTGCATTACAGTCTGGGCAACAGAGTGAAACTCCATCTTGAAAAAAACAAAAAACAGCCACTGGAACTGCTCTACCTTGGCAGGTAGCTCAGTCAGTAGAGCATGAGACTCTTAATCTCAGGGTTGTGGGTTCGAGCCCCATGTTGGGCGCCAGATGTTGGGTATCAGCCCAACCCTGTACGAGGGTGTCCTGTGTCCTGGTAGTGACGAGGGAATGAGAAAATAAGACAGAGATAAGAGTAGAAGTCCACAGCATGGGTCCAGGGGTCCAGTGCACTCTCGCATGGGGTGATCCACGTTGGTGTTGAGCTCTGGGCTCCACACGCTTTTTAATGGGTGCATTATCTTGTTGATCTTGGGGCTGTGGGGAGGGGAGTTGAGAATGAAGATGGCTAGGGGAAGAGCATGTGTTTGCAGCATTCAATAGCAAATGTGGTTCTTTTAAGAAATGCTAACTAAGGACACTGAGTTTTTACCACCCATTGTCTATCCAGGTACATCTGCAAAAGAAGCAAAGTGGATAAGGTGCTGTAAGTTCTGACCACACACAATGCATCAAGGGGTTTTTATCTCCCGAGCATTGCAAACACGGAACAATAAAAATTACTCCATATTTTGAGAACCTAGGCAAAGCCTGTGGCATTCTGGTGATACCTGCCCTGGAAGGCCTTCCTGCCATGCAAGCTCCCATCTGCAAAGACCCTCCCGAGGCTTGTGAGCAAAGGTCACATTCCTTCCCAGAGTTCTTGCACAAGCCCTCTTTACGAGACCCTCACACAGACTCTACGTTGGGAAGAGATGTGGGACCAAAGCAGCTTTCCTGCCCTGCAACCACACTGCCGCATTCCACGGTTTAAAGCGCTCTCAGATGGTCTTCACTATAGGCCTCCTGTTACCACTTGATCTCTGCTTTTATTTTACTGCACCATAGTTTGGAGTTTTCTTAATTCAGTATTTGATCCGTGGCACAAATCTCAGTGTATAAAAAGCAAAGCAAGCTTGTAATCATTTAAGTAACACAGGTCTGCCCCGGCCATCTTTTCCTACATGCCAACATGGAAGATATCCTAAAAACATGAAGAAAAGTTAAAATGTGTGCAGAGAGCTGAGGAAAGCCTCTGACTAACATTTTTTTTTTTTGAGACAAAGTCTTCCTCTGTTGCCCAGGCTGAAGTGCAGTGGGGTGATCTCAGTTTACTGCAACCTCTGCCTCCCCAGTTCAGGCAATTCCTCTGCCTCAGCCTCCCAAGTAGCTGGGATTACTGGCATGTGCCACCATGCCTGGCTAATTTTTATATTTTTTTGGTAGAGATGGGGTTTCACCATGTTGGCTAGTCTCGAACTCCTGACCTCAGGTGATCCACTCGCCTCAGCCTCCCAAAGTGCTAGGATTACAAGGGTGAGCCACTGTGCCCGGCACTCTCTGGCTAACTTCTAAGTGTCCAGGCAGGGCTTTGTGGCACCGTATGAGGGTTTTTCCTTTCTATCTCCCTTCCTGGGTTGTGAGTTTCTCAGGGCAGGGAAATGGATCACTCATCCACCTGTCACCGTATAATGCATATTAGTTGCCTGATATACACTAGTACTCAGAAAAATGTCTGATGAATGAATAATATTCCTGACTTTGCCACTTACTTTTTTTTTTTTTTTTTGAGACAGAGTCTCGCTTTTATCACCCAGGCTGGAGTGCAGTGGCACAGGTGTGAGCCACCACGCCCGGCTGCCACTTACTTTCTAACTGACTTTGAATATAATCATTTTCTTCTCGAGTCTCATTTCAAAATTTATAAGACAAGCGGCCTGGACTGCGTTTCAAGGCAGCCCTTTCAGCACTAAGTGAAATAAGTGGCTGAGGGATGCAGGATGCGCTGGCTAGGGGAGGTCGCTACCATCTCCAGCAAAATGCTGTGCTGAGGTCTGACACAGAGGGATATAGAGAGAGGGGCTGCCTGACCCCCCCATCTAGGAGCTGCCCAGGATGCCAGAGGAGGGGATGGAACTGATTTAGGTCAATGAGGGGGCATTGGCTATTAACCCCTTGAATCCCAGTGGCTCACTTGCTGGTTCCCATCCCTGACCCACTAGCCTGGTGTCTCCCCCCTCTCCTGGGGGGAGACCAATTTCTGGAGGAAGCTCTGGGTACCCAGTCTTCCCCTAAGCCTGCCTCTGAACAAGCTGTTCTTGTTTATGACCCCCGTCCCAGCAGAACAGTGATTGCTCATCCTTGCATGTGATTTGAGAGGGCCAGTCTTTCAGGCCTGGAGGAAACTCAAGCCCCACCAGCCGCTTGGCATCGGAATGCTCAGCTGGTCTGCTCCTGGGGCTCATGTGACCAAGATCCAGCTATAAATATCAGAGGGGCCTCAGACGAAGACAGAATTCGGGCACCAGGAGAAGGAAGCCAACAGGATCCGACACAGTGTTTCCTGAGAAAGGCAAGACCCCCTCAGGTCTACTTAGAGCGAAGTCCGTAGAGGAGGCAGCTAGGCGCAGCTCTGACTCCGACCCACAGAATGGATTATAAGTCGAGCCTGATCCAGGATGGGAACCCCATGGAGAACTTGGAGAAGCAGCTGATCTGCCCTATCTGCCTCGAGATGTTTACCAAGCCAGTGGTCATCTTGCCGTGCCAGCACAACCTGTGCCGGAAGTGTGCCAACGACATCTTCCAGGTCAGTGCCAGGGGCGGCCTCATCTGGGGGCCCCAGGTGGCTGCTCAGCTTCCCTGTGATGAAACCCTTCTTCATGCTTAGCCTTCCAAGCAGAACAGGCTCTTTCCCCTTGGAAGTGAACCCCTGCAGAGGCCTCTGGACAGGGCTGAGAGGGGCTGAGAGGGGCTGAGAGGGGCTGGGAGGCAGCTCTGGCCGTCACAGTCCTTCTCCATGACGCATGTTTCCCCTCCCGCCCTGCCCATAGCTCCTCCACCCCTACCCTGAGCACTGCTGTTGACTCTCCAATCAAGAGTCAAATGCCTCAAGTGATAAGCGGGGGAGGCAGGGGACAGGAGAGAGAAACCAGACCCTTGGGGCTGGAGCCAGCTCCTGGTGGCAAGAGGCCCAGAGCTTTGGGAGGAGGGTGTCAAGGAGGCAGTGGGCAGTAGAGGCTTCTTTCCTTTTGAGGCTGTTCCCTACAATATGGGAGCAGAAGGGGCTTTAACTCCCAGAGAAAGGAAGGGGGCAGGTGTCCTGGCTAGGAGGCAGGATGTGCGGTTCCCCAGGGGCACTTTACAAACTGTTCTTTCACGATTTTATCTTTAAAGTAGCAGCCCTAGGAGCTTGCTGTAATTGTAATGCCCATTTCATAAGTAGGCAAACTGAGGCTTAGAGAGATAAGGTTGCTTGCCCAAAATCACTCGGAGAATAATTGTGACTTTAACCCAGGTCTGCTGCCTCCCCATCCTGATAATTGCTTAGCTGCTTCTCAGGTGCTCCATGTGTGAGGACTGGTTCTCACTGCAGCCTGCCGAGCTCCAGGTCCTCATGTTTGACCGGAGTGGCTGAGACAGGCAGAGAAAAGGGTAAGAGGAGAATTAGAAAGGGGAAAGGATGAGGAGGGAGCCCAGAACCTCACCTTGACCTTTGCCACCTGCAGGCATCAAATCCCTACTGGACCAGCCGAGGCAGCTCAGTGTCCATGTCTGGAGGCCGTTTCCGCTGCCCCACCTGCCGCCACGAGGTGATCATGGATCGTCACGGAGTGTACGGCCTGCAGAGGAACCTGCTGGTGGAGAACATCATCGACATCTACAAACAGGAGTGCTCCAGGTCAGTTCTCATGCCTGCTGGGGGTCCATCCTCCTTCCCAGCCATGCTGTGCCCAGCTCCACCAAGCTCCTTCCCACTCCTTCATTTGCTTAGGATCCAGGCCCCTAGCTGGACTAGCTACACAAGCCAGTTCAGAGACAGGATTGGAGACCCATACACCCCAACCCAGCTCTCAGATCACTCAGTGGATGGGAAGGGACCCAGACATTAGGCTGCCCTTCCAGGAGATACCAAGACAGAGACTCGGGGAAAGATGAGATATGAGAGGTGGAAAAAGGCCCTGGGGCCAGCTAGTGGCTCTGGTCAGCAGAGAAAGCGCCCAGTGAGAAACAGCCAGGTTGTCCATAAGGATAGCAATGACTACTCTCCCGTGTGCCAGGAGAAAGAGCTCCAGGCACTGGGAATGCTTCATCTTAGCACCTCCCAATCATTCTGTGGATCAGGCATGACTTTATTATCCTCATTTCACAGATGAGGAAACTGAGGCTAAAAAGGTGAAGTCAATTAGCTAAGGTTTCCCAGTTGGGAAGTGATAGAGCCAGGAGTTGTCCCAGTCAATCTAGCTCTGAGTCTCCCTGTAATAAAACAGCAGCTCATTCACAGGCAAACTGTGTGAGAGGTGGAGGTTGTACTGTGTTGACCTCAAACTGGGGAGAGAGGGCCAGGCATGGTGGCTCACGCCCGTAATCCCAACACTCTGGGAGGCCAAGGTGGGAAGATGGTTTGAGGCCAGGAGTTCAAGACCAGTCAGGGCAACATAATGAGATCCTGTTTCTACAAAAATTAAAAACCAGCTGAGTGTGGTGAGGCATGCCTGCAGTCCCAGCTACTAGGGAGAATTGTTGAGCCAGGGAGGTCAAGACGGCAGAGCCATGATCGTGCTACTGCACTCCGGGCTGGGTGACAGAGTGAGACTATGCCTTAAGCAAACAGACGAACAAACTGGGGAGAGACACAGCCACAGGGAAGATCTTTACAAATCAGGACATGCTGGTAAGACTCCAGGAGTGCTGACTTCACAGCCTTTATGCTCCAAAACCTTCACCAAGCATCTGCCTGCAGGCAGTGCCCAGTCCAAGGGAAGGTGACAGACCAGGTCTCAGGTGAAGAAACCCTGGCCTGGGGAACTGTGCTCGCAAGTTAGCCTCTGTGAATAATGTACTGTACGGTCTTGGGTAAGCCTCTGGGGCTTCATTTCCTCTGTCTGCAAATAGAAACAGACAGTAAGACCTGTTATTGTGGCTGTCAAATAAGATATTAATGGAAAAGTGTTAATGTATCAACTATGTATTGGGTTCCTACTATTTGCAGGCACTGTACTAAGGACTTTCAGGCATTTTCCCCATCTACTTTTCATAGTAACTGTGGAAGGCATTCCCATCTCCATTTTACCCTGAGGAAACGGGAGCTCAGAGACGATCAGAGATTTGTCCAAGGCCACACAGCTAGCAAGTGGTAGAGCTAAGAGACAGAGGGTGTGAGAATATTCTCTTTTTTTTGTTTTTGAAGCAGAGTCTTGCTTTGTCGCCCAGGTTAGAGGGCAGTGGTGTGATCTTGGCTCACTGCAACCTCCACCTCCCATGTTCAGGCGATTGTCCTGTCTCAGTCTCCCAAGTAGCTGGGACTACAGGCGCGTGCCAACATGCCCAGCTAATTTTTATATTTTTAGTAGAGACAGGGTTTCACCATGTTGGCCAGGCTGGTCTTGAACTTCTGACCTCAGGTGATCTGCCCACCTCAGCCTCCCAAAGTGCTGGGATTACAGGTGTCTTTTTCTTTTTCTTTTTTTTAAAATTTCCCTAATGCCACCCACTCGAATATTCTTAACTGCTGTGCTAGACTGCCTCTCATGTTACTACAGCTCAACACTACAAAATGCAAACATATTGCTGATCATTACAGGAATAATAAAGTCAGTTCTGCACCACTCTTAACCTACCCAGTGCCAACCTATGAAGGAAATGTTGTATGTGAACCTCTGAGGCCTTTCCACATAGTGGAATGACAATGACAGCTGCTTGCTACTGAGGGGCCACTCTGTGCCAGGCACTCCACATTCACTACAGACAACTTCTACCATGATTGCTACAGTTCTGGGAGGAAACCCGGGGAAGAGAGGCGAAATCACTTTCCAAAATCACAAAAATGAATGTGGGAGAACAATCTGGATATGAACCCTGATGCCAAAGTCTGAACTTGGGAGGGTGGGGATCTGGGAGGGCTGTGGGAACAGGAACCAGACCCTCAGGCTCTTGCCTCACCTCTGCACTCCCTGCCATCCCTTCATCAGGGGATGGAGGCAGGTGGCAAAGGGAGACCCCTGCCAGCATAGGGACTCTGGGGTAAAAGATGCAAAAAGGGGCTTCTTTAAGAACTTGGAGGACAATAAAGCCCAGGGTGTGATCAGTCACGTAAGGCTGTTTGGAGGTGAGGCACTGACACTGTGGGGGACAGTCACCATTTGACACTTGCAAGGTGCCTGTTCTGTTAGGGGCTGGGAATCAGAGGTGCTGTTGGCTCTCAATGAGTGTATGGTCTAGCTGGAGATGGAAGACTCAAAGAATTGAATCCACACCAGGCATGGTGGTATGCACCAGTTGCAGCTACTGGGGAGGCTGAGGCAGGAGGATTGCTCAGCTTAGAAGTTCGAAGCTGCAGTGTGTCTGTGAATTGCTGCTGCACTCCAGCCTGGACAATATGGTGAGACCCTGTTGCAAAAAAACAAAACAAAACAAAAAAAGGCTGGGTGCAGTGGATCACGCCTGTAATCCCAGTACTTTGGGAGGCTGAGGTGGGAAAGGCTGAGGTGGGAAAGTGCTGGGGTTACAGGCATGAGCCACTGTGCCCAGCCATGGAGAGTCTTAAGAAATTCAAGATGGTGAACTGACTCCTATGCTAGTTATTGTTTTCTTCTTCTTCTTTTTTTTTTTTTTTTGAGATGGAGTTTCACTCTTGTTGCCCAGGCTGGAATGCAATGGCACAATCTCGGTTCACTGCAACCTCTGCCTCCCCAGATCAAATAATTCTCCTGCCTCAGCCTCTGAAGTAGCTGGGATTACAGGTGCATGCTACCACACCCAGCTAATTTTTGTATTTTTAGTAGAGATAGGGTTTCATCATATTTGTCAGGCTGGTCTAGAACTCCTGACCTCAGGTGATCCACCCACCTCGGGCTCCCAAAGTGCTGGGATTACAGGCGTGAGCCACCGCGCCCAGCCTTAGTGATTTATTCTTTCTACCTTTGTTTAATTACCACCTCCTCTATGCAGGCACTGTACAGTGTAGGCTCAGGGGGTGATGAAAACAGGCAAGTTTCCCTGCCTTGATGGAGGTTACAGTCTAGTGGATTAAATATAGAATTAAATGAGGCCATCAGTAAAAATTTCTTAGCTCAGAGCCCAGCCTGCAGTAACCAAAGCTACGGTGACTATAATTAGAGCAACTGAACTCTAGCCTCCTCCGCCCTTACTTGCTCCATGACCTTGGACAAGTCAATTCACTTTTTCTGGAGCCCAGTTTCCTCTTCTCTAAAATGTCTCCAGGTCTGACTCTCTGGAATTCTATGGCCCTTTCTGTGTCCTTTGCACTGGCAGAGCCTCAGGCTAACTCCATCTTAGGATGTGGGGACAGATTTGGTGTCATTGGCTTCCCAAGTCCTTGGTCCCCAGAAGATGAAAAGATTTTAGGGCAGCCAAACACTGAGAGCCCAGGGCATAAATCTGGCAATTCACAGACACGCTGCAGCCTTGAACTCCTGGGCTGAGCAATCCTCCTGCCTCAGCCTCCCCAGTTGCTGCGACTGGTGCAGCGGAGCTGGGGAGAAGACAGGGACGCAGGACCCCCCATGACTTGAGACTGTTCTCCACTGCAGTCGGCCGCTGCAGAAGGGCAGTCACCCCATGTGCAAGGAGCACGAAGATGAGAAAATCAACATCTACTGTCTCACGTGTGAGATGCCCACCTGCTCCATGTGCAAGGTGTTTGGGGTCCACAAGGCCTGCGAGGTGGCCCCACTGCAGAGTGTCTTCCAGGGACAAAAGGTACTGGCTCCAGCCCCTTTTACCCCCAGCCTGGGCCTGCTGGGCACGGTCTGATGATTCAGGAGGCAGATTTGATCCCTGTAGATCTGCTGATCCGGCCTTTTAGGAATAGTCCCTCTGGGGGGACTTCCCAGGCCACAGGGACAGCAGCCCTGGCCTTCCTGGGGGAGGCAGCTGAGCTCATGGTTATACTTAGAGCCACTCAAGAGCACCTGGGTGTGGCCACAAAGGAGCAGTCAGACGCCCTGGCCAGGCCACCGGGGTCCTCTCGGGCCACGGCTTCTCCACCCCCCAGATACTCTTCCCATGCCTCTCACCTCTTCTCCTAGACTTCATCTTTCCCTGCAGCAGGAGGCAGCTTAACCCTCTTCCTGGGCCCCTGGGCCTGTGGAGACCCACCGCCCTGTCCGTGCAGTAAGCCACGGCCCCCTCTTTTCCATGCTCTTTCCCCACTTCCCACTCTTCCCTTGGTCTCTCTATCCTAGAAGTCTCCAACTCTATTTCTTTCCTTTGTCCCTTCTTTCTTGGTAACAAGCCCCTCCTCTACCAGTTCCTTGCTGTGTATTTTGGGCAGCTCACTTGCCTGCTCTTGGCCTCATCTGTAAAATAAGGTATGCAGTATCTTTCTAACATCCTCTGCTCTGGAGCTGATCTGTACCCGAAAGAGGGGCCAGATCCCTACAGGAGGCTCTTTCTAGCAGAGAGGGGAGGAAGGGAGCCATGTTGCTGCCTTGCCCCAGCGGGTAGGCCCTGAGGCTATTTGTATATCTCCTCTCCTGACCCCCACACCTCTATCTAGACTGAGCTGAATAACTGTATCTCCATGTTGGTGGCGGGGAATGACCGCGTGCAGACCATCATCACTCAGCTGGAGGAGTCCCGTCGAGTGACCAAGGTGAGGGGACAGAATAGCCCTGCCTGGAAGTTCCAGGGCAGGCTGGTCTCTGGGGAAGGCTCACCCATGGGTTGTGGCTAAAGGTTGAGGCCTGGAGCCTGGGGTGGCCAAGCAGGGATGGCAGGGGAGAGACAAATCCATCATCCACTCTCTCAGCAAATGCTTCTCAAGCACAGCTGTGTGTCTGGCCCCACCTGAGATGGGGGGATGGAGGAATGAACGAGACAGACGTGGTCCCTGACCTCAGGGAGTGTTCCACCAATCATTCTCAGTATTTGTTCAACACAAATCACTTTCAGAGCACAGTTCTTCAGTGTGCTATAGACCAACACTTCCCAAACTTTAAAGTGCAAGAAAATCACCCTGGGATCCTGCTGAAACTCAGGTTCTCATTGAGTCAGTTTGGAATGAGGCATAACAGTTGCATTTCTAGCCAGTTCCCAGGATTTGTCCAAGCTGCTGTGTCCATGGACCACACTCTGAGTAGTGAGACTATTGAGGGCAGAAAGGAACTTTTCTATTCCTGAAAAAAGCTTGCACGATTTTCCATGTTCACTTGGGGTAGGGGCCTGGAGACGAGATGAAGGAAAGGGGTCATGATAATTGTGAGTGGTTGAAGAGTCAGGTGAAGGGTAGGAAGGAGGGGAACATTGTGATCACCCATGAGAGGCTCCCAGTCTGATGAGATGCTACTGTCACACCCACTTTACAGAAAAGAACTAAGATGTGACATCTGTGACAGAGGGAAGGGAGCTTCCGTTGAGAGGCGTGCTAGGAAAGGAGCTGTTTTTCCACCTCTCTTAGGAACAAATGATGCAGAGCTTCCCTAATCCAGTCTTGGTCCTAAAAGGGAGGGAAGAGTGTGACCTGGGACATACTGGAGGCCCAGGAAACTGAATGGAAGCAAATACGTTAATTTGCTGAAGGTCACACAGCTAGAAGGGAAACACAGCTAAAAGGCAACAGAAAGCTGGACGGGGAGGCTCACACCTGTAATCCCAGCACTTTGGGAGGCCAAGGCAGGTGCAATGTGAGGTCAGGAGATTGAGACCGTCCTTGCTAACACAGTGAAACCCCATCTCTACTAAAAATCAAAAAATTAGCTGGCTGTGGTGGCATGCACCTGTAATCCCAGCTACTCGGGAGGCTAAGGCAGGAAAATCACTTGAACCTAGGAGGCGAGATTTCAGTGAGCTGAGATTGTGCCACTGCACTCAGCCTGGGTGACAGAGCAAGACTCCATCTCAAAAAAAAAAGAAAGGCAACAGAGAAAGAGAGGGCAGATCCCACATTACTGACTGTTGCATTGGTCTGAGAGGTGATGCTCCAATGACCAGCTGAGGTTGGGGGACAGGCGGAGGGTGCAGGAACAAGGAAGAACATGTTATGTCATGTGACCCTAGAGCCTATTTTGGAAAAAGGGGCTAGCTGTTTTTCAAGGCATCAGCCTCCAAATATCACTGGTGTACTAAGTAGCTGTGAGGCCGGATGAGTGTTTTCTTCTTGTTAAGCCTTTGTTTCATCTTCTGTAATGTGGGGATGTATGTAATGAGAGCTCTTCTAGCTTTCAAAATTGCTTGCTACTGTCCCAGGAAGGGAGTGTGGGGGCAGGGAGTAAGGACCCTACAGAATGTGACTGCAAGACTTCTGTCTTCAGGAGAACAGTCACCAGGTAAAGGAAGAGCTGAGCCAGAAGTTTGACACACTGTACGTCATCCTGGATGAGAAGAAAAGCGAGTTGCTGCAGCGGATCACTCAGGAGCAGGAAGAAAAGCTCAGCTTCATTGAGGCCCTCATCCAGCAGTACCAGGAGCAGCTCGACAAGTCCACGAAGCTGGTGGAGACTGCCATCCAGTCCCTGGACGAGCCTGGGGGTGCCACCTTCCTCTTGGTAAGCAGGACTAGAAGGGTCTGGGTGGGGTCAGTTCAATTCTACAGCTCTAAGGTTCCAGTTAGGCTTCTCTACTGACAACCCATGGGCCCTTGGAAAAGTCATTTAAACCTCTGTGAGCCTCAGTTTTCTCATCTGTCAAATGGGCATGTAATACCCCCTACCCTCCTCTTACTGATTTTAGAATGATCAGAGGATGTTTGTGAAATGACTTTGTAAGCTGCAAAATAGTGTCCCACCTACAGACTATTAATTGAGCCCCTACTGTAGGCCAGACACTGAGTAGAAGACAAGGAAATAAACCAGACACAGCCCTGCCCTCAAAGAGCTTGTTGGGGAGGACAGAAAAGTCTGTTATAAGACTTTGCAATTCAGGCCAGGTGCAGTGGCTCACACCTCTAATCCCGGCACTTTGGGAGGCCGAGGTGGGTGGATCGCCTGAGGTTTGGAGTTCGAGACCAGCCTGACCAATATGGTGAAACCCCGTCTTTAAAAAAAATAAAAATAGGCTGGGCGCGGTGGCTCAAGCCTGTAATCCCAGCACTTTGGGAGGCCGAGGCGGGTGGATCACAAGGTCAAGAGATCGAGACCATCCTGGTCAACATGGTGAAACCCCATCTCTACTAAAGATACAAAAAAATCAGCTGGGCATGGTGGCACGTGCCTGTAATCCCAGCTACTCAGGAGGCTGAGGCAGGAGAATTGCCTGAACCCAGGAGGCGGAGGCTGCGGTGAGCCGAGATCGCACCATTGCACTCCAGCCTGGGTAACGAGAGCAAAACTCCGTCTCAAAAAAAAAAAAAAAAAAGTCTTCACAGTTCAGTTCAATAAACATTTTCTAAGCTTCTACTGTGGGCCAGGCTTTGTGCTAGACATTAGGTATGAAAAGGTGGTTAGCATTGGGGGGTTCAGGGTTTCAGAGTGTTGGATTGATACCCCCAGAGCCTAAGCTTCCTGCCAAGACAATGGGAGGGTCCTAGGGTGATGATCAAGACCTGTGCAAACCATGGATAGAGAGAAAAGTTCCAAATTCTGCTCAGTTTGGGGTGGGGAGCAGGTCACAACTTGGCTAGGGAATGGCACCAAATGTCCAACTACAACACCCAGTCACTGGTTTTGCTGATTTCCTGGAGTTATCGCTTCTGTGGTCCTAACTCTTTATTCTCTCTCCCCCTGCAGACTGCCAAGCAACTCATCAAAAGGTCAGTATCTCCTCAGAGGCTATGATCTAAGCCCCCAGTTCCCAGCAGGGCCTCTGTCCAGGAAGCCTTGTCCTGAGCATTAGATCTGCTAGAGGGTCTCACTCCAGGCTGGCTTCCCTGACCTTCTGCATCCCTGACTTTTTGGACCACTCATTGTGCTTGAGATTTGAGAGGAAATACTCCATCCCTCCAAGGGAGCCTCTGGGTGGAAGGCCTGGGCGTGGGCAAGTCATGTGCCCTCTCCTCCCTGCACTGAGCCCCAGAGATCTCACCCAGCCTCTCTCTCTGTCTCCCCCACAGCATTGTGGAAGCTTCCAAGGGCTGCCAGCTGGGGAAGACAGAGCAGGGCTTTGAGAACATGGACTGCTTTACTTTGGATTTAGAGTACATAGCAGATGCCCTGAGAGCCATCGACTTTGGGACAGGTAAAGGAGGTGGTGGTGCCACTTGTCTATTTCCCTTCCTAATCCCTGGAAACCAGCATCTCTTCCACTGAACCCCATGGGGAGGCAGATACACTAATAAACATCCCCATATATCAATCAAATTCATATAGCCAGCTTCTGGCTGGCTGGGGAGGCTCACACCTGTAATCCCAGCACTTTGGGAGGCCAAGGCAGGTGGATCACTTGAGGTCAGGAGTTTGAGACCAGCCTGGCCAACATGGTGAAACCTCACCTCTACTAAAAATACAAAAATTAGCCAGACGTGGTGGCACATGCCTGTAATTCCAACTATTCAGGAAACTGAGGCAGGAGAATCGCTTGAATCCAGGAGGTAGGGGTTGCAGTGAGCCAAGATCGTGCCACTGCACTCTAGCCTGGGCAACAGAGCCAGACTCCGTCTCAAAAAAAAAAAAAAAAAATCATATAGCCAACTTCTAGATGAGCCCAGAGCCTAGCACAGTGGCTTGGTGCAGAATTTCTGCTCCATAAATTACATATGGATCCATGGCAGGGAGGCCTCTTGGGGCAGTAGAAATAATGTGGCCTCTGGAATCAGACAGTCCTGAGTTTAAATCCCGGTTCTACCATGTGTTTATTATCTGTGTGACCTTTGGCAGGCCCCCTCTGCCTGAGTTTTCTTTTCTTTTTTTTTTTTTTTTTTTTGAGAGGGAGTTTCACTCTTGTTACCCAGGCTGGAGTGCAATGGCGCGATCTCGGCTCACCGCAACCTCCGCCTCCTGGGTTCAGGCAATTCACCTGCCTCAGCCTCCTGAGTAGCTGGGATTACAGGCACGCACCACCATGCCCAGCTAATTTTTTGTATTTTCAGTAGAGACGGGGTTTCACCATGTTGACCAGGATGGTCTCGATCTCTTGACCTCATGATCCACCCGCCTCGGCCTCCCGAAGTGCTGGGATTACAGGCTTGAGCCACCGCGCCTGGCCCTGAGTTTTATTTTCTAATTTTAAAAATCAGGTTAGAAACGAGCCCTCTAATAATGACCAACTCACGGTGCTATTGCAAAAAAAATCAGACGTCGATGCAGAAAAGTCCTGTAGAGTACCAGAGATGTACTAGCTATTACCTAAAGGTAATCTTAGCTTCAGCTTCTTAATGCTATAACCTATGATACTCAGGCACCTTAATTTATCAACATTATATCCTCATTTCTGTTTATAATTACTCTCCCATAGAGTGCCTATAATAATTACAATTATACAATTGTTTACAATTATAATTATACAATTATAATAATTGTAATTATTATAGGCACTCTATGGGAGAGTAATTATAAACAGAAATGTGGGCCAGGCAGTGGCTCACACCTGTAATCCCAGCACTTTGGGAGGCTAAGGCAGGCGGATCACGAGGTCAAGAGAATCGAGACCATCCTAGCCAACACTGTAAAACCCTGTCTCTATGAAAAATACAAACAAAATTAACAGGAGGCTGGGTGTGCTGGCTCACGCCTATAATCCCAGCACTTTGGGAGGCTGAGGCGGGTGGATCATTTGAGGTCAGGAGTTCAAGACCAGCTTGGCTAACCTGATGAAATCCCGTCTCTACTAAAAATACAAAAAAAATTTAGCCGGACGTGGTGGCAGGCACCTGTAATCCCATCTAATCGGGAGGCTGAGGCAGGAGAATTGCTTGAACCTGGGAGGTGGAGGTTGCAGTGAGCCAAGATGACGCCATTGGACTCCAGCCTGGGCGACAAGAGGGAAACTCCGTCTCAAAAAAAAAAATTAGCTGGGTATGGTGGCTCATGCCTGTAATCCCAGCTACTCAGGAGGTTAAGGCAGGAGAGTCACTTGAACCAGGAAGGCAGATGTTGCAGTGAGCTGAGATCGTCCAGCCCGGTGATAGAGTGAGACTCGGTCTCAAAAATAATAATAAAATAAAATAATTGTAACAATGCAACCATAACAATAATAAGGGTGAAAATAACAAGGGAAATGAAGAAACTGAATGGAAACAAATAAGTTAATTTGCTGAAGGTCACACAGCTCAAGGGGAAACACAGCTCAAAGGCAACAGAGAAAGAGAGGGCAGATCCCACATTCCTGACCATTGTGTTGATCTGAGAGGTGGTGCTCCAATGACCAGCTGAGGTTGGGGGACAGGAGGAGGGTGCAGCAATAAGAAAGAAGTGTAAATGGGCTGGCGTGAGAAAGAGCTTCTCAGCACCTCGTGTGTCGCTCTCCTGCAAACCCTCAGTATCTGGTGCTAAGCCTGTTTTCAGAACCTCAGATATACCTCGTTCATAGGTAAGGACAAAATATATCCTAAAGCAGAGATACCAAGGGACTTGGGGACATCCACTGTAGATGAGCTACTCCACTGTCAGCTTCCCTAAGCTAAGATATTCAAGACTGGGTCATATGGTATGAGCATAACATTGTGAAGTCCTGCACTGGACTTCATAATCTCCCTGAGCCTCAGTTTCCCCACAAGTAAAATGAGGAGAGTACCAACGGTTACCAGTTACTGAACATTCTGTATGTCGTAGGCATTAAGCTCTTAACCTAAGTTTTATCATTTAACACACCTTTATGGGATAGGTTCTGTTATCATCTCTGTTTCATAGCTGAGGGAACTTAAATCTCAGAGAGGGTAAGCCACTTGTTCAAGGCCACACAGTTAGGAAGTAACCCATGCAGATTCTACCGAGAGCCATTTGGCTTGCAAAACTCTAGTGAGGATTTTATAAGACGGTGCACATTTAACACTTAGCACACTACTTGGCACGTAGTAAGTACTCAGAAACTGCTGTTAGGAGTAGTCATTGTGATAATGATTAAACAACAAAACTCCCTGGGTTATGCTCTGAGCCTAGTTACTTGGCTAGAAGTTTGGTTGTCATTTTGGAGATACTCTTTTTTGTTTATTTTTATTTTTTTGAGACGGTGTTTCGTTCTTGTCACCCAGGCTGGAGTGCGATGGCGTGATCTCTGCTCACTGCAGCCTCCGCTTCCAGGTTCAAGTGATTCTCCTGCCTCAGCCTCCCAAGTAGCTGGGATTACAGGCACACGCCAAGATGCCCAGCTAATTTTTTGTATTTTTAGTAGAGACAGGGTTTCGCCATGTTGGCCAGGCTGGTCTCAAACTCCTGACCTCAGGTGATCCGCCCGCCTCAGCCTCCCAAAGTGCTGGGATTACAGGCGTGAGCAACCAATCCCAGCCTGGAGATACTCTTGACAAATGTCCTGTCTCTGTGGTGGCCCCTCAGGGCCCCAAAAGATTAAGGAGGTGGCTCCCGGGAGAAGTGAAGGGAGATGTTTGCTGTTAAAGCTTGCCGGTGACATCTCAGGATGAAAAAATGGGGACATGAGTTGCAGCACAGTCACTGTCCCTCTGGTGCTCAGTTTCAGGGAGCAGAGGTGGCTCCAGAAGTGCTCCCCCAGCCTGTCCACCGCTCTGCAGGCTAAGGAAGGAGGAAAACAGGACAGGGGGTGTTGAACAAGCAGATCTCGTAGGCTGAGCAGCTTCCTCAGGACAAGGACTCTGACCCCTGAGAATGGAGGAGGCGTTTTTCTCTGCCTACCTGAGAAATGCGCAGAAGCAGAGAGTGTGCCTCCTCAGAGTCCTCTCTCCGGTCACAGGCAGAGCAGGTGATAGAAGCTACTGGTGCTGGTGCAAGGAAATGTCTCGAACCTGGCTCCCTGGGACAGAGTGCAGGGGATTGCAGGAGCAGGGCCTCTGTGCGGTGTGGATCTGGCAAGCCCATAACCTCCCAGGCCACTGCCGTCTCTGTGTGGCCATTTGACTTCAAGTGGGCACAGGAAGGGGTTTAGACAGTGCTCTCTCCTGCCGAGTTCCTCTTCAAGTAGCTCCTCAAGAAACTAGGCCCCTCCTAACACAAGTGTTCTTCGTCACAGATGAGGAAGAGGAGGAGTTCATTGAAGAAGATCAGGAAGAGGAAGACTCCACAGAAGGGAAGGAAGAAGGTAAAAAATTCATCTACCTCCATTGCTTCATTCCTTCACTCATTCCACAATAGGAGATGCCTACTATGTGCAAAGTGCTGTGTTAGACATTGAGAATGATACTGAGCCCTGTCCCCCAGCATGTGCTTTAAACCTATTGAAGGTAATGTTCTGTTCTCCTTACCCTTAGAGAGGAAAAAAACCCCAAACTATTCATAGTAAAATGCTCCCATTTCACATCTAAATGATCTTCTTAGATGGAAAGCAATACAGCACAGCAAAAGGAAAAGATGGGGGCTCATGAGGTAGGGCGGGTCCATTGAGGTGTTTTGTTTGGCGAGCACTGTGTTTAAATTAAAAAAAAAAATAGTACTTGCTGGTCAGGAACAGTGGCTCACGCCTGTAATTCCAGCACTTTGGGAGGCCAAGGCCAGCCTGGCCAACATGGTAAAACCCCATTTATACTAAAAATACAAAAAATTATTCGGATTTGCTGGTGGGCACCTGTAGTAGCAGCTACTCAGGAGGCTGAGGCAGGAGAATCCCTTGAACCCAGAAGGTGGAGGTTGCAATGAGCTGAGATTGTGCCACTGCACTCCAGCTTGGGTGATGGAGTGAGATTATATCTCAATAAAAAAAATTACTTGCTGGCTGGGTGTGGTGGCACATGTCTGTAATCCCAGCACTTTGGGAGGCTAAGGCGGGAGGATCACTTGAGGCCAGGAGTTTGGGACCAGCCTGGTCAACACAGCAAGACCTCATCTTTACAAAAAAAATTTTTGGCTAACACCCTTTTCGGCATTAGCCCACCTGAACCCAGGTTAATATAAAAAAAAATTAATTAGCCAGACGTGATGGGTACATACTTGTAGTCCTAGCTACTTGGGAAGCTGAGGCTGGAGGATCGCTTAAGCCCAGAAGGTCGAGGCTGCAGTGAGCTATGATTGCACCACTGTCCTCCAGCCTGGGCAACAGAGAAGGACACTACACTGTCTCTTTAAAAAAAAATTAATTGCTAACATTTTTTAAATTAGGGTTTATTTGTTTGTTTGTATGTTTGTTTGAGATGGAGTCTCACTCTGTCACCCAGGCTTGAGTGCAGTGGTGTCATCTCGGCACACTGCAACCTCCACTGCCCAGGTTCAAGCAATTCTCCTGCCTCAGCCTCCCAAGTAGCTGGGATTACAGGTGCGTGCCACCACACCCAATTAATTTTTTGTACTTTTAGTAGAGACGGGGTTTCACCATGTTAGCCAGAATGGTCTCGATCTCCTGACCTCATGATCCACCTGCCTTGGCCACCCAAAGTGGTGGGATTATAGGTGTGAGCCACCACACCCAGCTTATTTTTTAAGGGTTAAGAAAAAGGAGATTTCAACTAAGAATCTGCATTTTTACCTACTTGTGAAAGTTTAGAAAAAGCAAACAATGCTGGACTTGAACTTCCCTGCAGTCCCAGAACGCTGGCTCTGGGCAGTGACTCTCCCCTATAAAGGGTACATACCAGCCAGGTGTGGTGGCTCACACTTGCAATCCTAGTACTTTGGGAGGCTGAGGCGGGCGGATCGCCTGAGGTCAGGAGTTTGACACCAGCCTGGCCAACATGGGGAAATCCCATCTCTACTAAAAACACAAAAATTAGCCAGGCCTGTTGGCGGGCCTATAATCCCAGCTACTTGAGAGGCTGAGGCAGGAGAGTGGCTTGAACTCCAGGGAGGTGGAGGTTGTGGTGAGCCGAGTTCATGCCACTTCATTCCAGCCACTCCAGCCTGGGTGAAAGAGCAAAACTCCGTCTCAAACAAAGAAAAAAATGAGACATGCCCTTGCCAGTTTGCCCAGCCCACCACTGTCAAGCCTACTTACTTCACTCATTCATGTTATCTGCTGGCCCCCTGTAGGCATCTGAGTTCACCAGCCTGGCAGAGTTTGATTGAGGCTGGGTTCTGAATCACAACAGCTCACAGTTTCTCTGAGTCTTGAGCTACTCATCTGTGCATGGGGGCATAACAGTACTGATGTCAAAAGTTTATAGCAGGGAGTAAATAAGATAATCATTTAGCACAGTATCTGGTGCATAGGAAAGACATTTGCTAATTAGCACAGGCTTGCAAAAGTTGTTTTTCAAACCATAGGTACTGCAACTAAACTCCAATCCAGTTGAACAATACAGGGTAGTCTTTTGGAGTTTTATACTGATGTACAATCCATAACGTTTGGGCAGCTAAATTCTATTTTGGTTTTAAAAGGAAGCGACCAGGCAGAATGGGAGTTTGATGTTTTATTCAAACTCCTGTCTGAATAAACGGTAGCTTGGTAAGCCTTGGATCCTCCTGAGTCCCTGTCTCACCAAGCACCTCTGTGTCTTTTTCTTTATTTCAGGACGCCAGTAAGGAGCTGGATGAGTGAGACGTCCCCCGAGATGCAGAGAGACTGGGGAGGGTGGGGAGGGGCCCAGTGGCCTTGGCGACAGGCCCAGGGTCTGGGCCCCTGAAGGGGCAATGGGGAGGTAATATCTTCTCTCTGCTCAGAGAGGAGGGACTAGGGTAGGACCCTCACTGCTGCATCCAGCAGCCCCTGAACCAGAATTAGGGGAATGTGCTTGAAACAATCACACAGGACACTTTTCTACCCTGGTGCAAAATGGAATATTTTGTACATTTTTAAAATGTGATTTTTGTATATACTTGTATATGTATGTCAACTTGGTGCTTTTTGTAAAGGAACTTTTGTATAATGCCTGGTCGTTGGGTGACCTGCAATTGTCAGAAAGAGGGGAAGGAAGCCAGGTGGATACAGCTGCCCACTTCCTTTCCTGGGTGGGAGGACTGGGTAGCACCACAGGGACAACCTGCTATATTTCAGTGCCTATCCCAGACATATGGGGTGGTAACTGAGTTTGTGTTCTATGTTGTTTTAATAAATGGACAATGCTTTCTTCCTGTTATTCAAAGGAGCCAGGGTTTCATTCGGCCTTTTTTCTTGGAGATGAGGGTTGGCTGTAAATGAATAGGAGCCCTGGGAGGAGGTGACAGCAGGGCTAGGCTTAGGTCCCACCAAAGGAGTCCTTTACACCACCATTTCCCAATTTGCACTCCATGAAAAGCCAGCCCTGAGCTGGTCCTCCAAGAACAGGTTCAATGTGTTGTTGCTCTGGTTCTCCAGAAAACAGAGCCTGAGGCAAAGTTTAAATGCTGTAGTTGCATTTATAGGGCCCCAGGGAAAACCCCTGTGCCTACTGAAGTTTCACCAAAAATCATTAAGGCTGGGCGCAGTGGCTCATGCCTATAATCCCAGCACTTGGGGAGGCCGAGGCAGGTGGATCACCTGAGGTCAGGAGTTCGAGACCAGCCTGACCAACATGGTAAAACCCTGTCTCTACTAAAAATACAAAATAAGCTGGGCATGATGGCACATGCCTGTAATCCCAGCTATTTGGGAGGCTGATGCATGAGAATCGCTTGAACCCAGGAGGCGGAGGTTGCAGTGAGCCAAGATCACCCCACTGTACTCCAGCCTGGGCAACAATATTGAAACTCAATCTCAGAAAAAAAAAAAAAAAAAAAAAAGAGGCAGGTTAATAGGAGAAAAGGCACACGAATACACACATTTATTTGACCGTGGTTTTATGAGACACAGGAGTCTTCAGAATGAAGACCCAAAGATACAGGAGAAACTGTCATTTTTAGGCTTAGTGTCAACAAAGTATGGACGGCTGTGTAGAAATACGATTGGACAAAGGAGCCTGATCTAAGGCTGATAGACGGAGTGGGAAGCCAGCAGGGCCTGTCTGTCGAGATTCTTCTCGGCTCCAAACCACAGCTTTTGTAAAAAAGGGGAAAAAACAGAAAAGAAAAAAGGTATATAAGAGATTTTTCTGGGCCTGTCTCCTTGCAGCATTCCTGCTTTCCTCATATGGGGCAGGACTCTCTCTGGATGGGAGTCTTCTGACCTACAATCAGACAAAGCTCAAAGGTCAAATGATTTCCTATAGCCAGTTTTACACAGAAAGGAAGGGGAAAATTAGAACAATTTGTATGTGGTTTGTTTTTTTTTTTTCTTCTAAGATGGAGTCTCACTCCGTTGCTAGGCTGGAGTGCAGCGGTACAATCTCAGTTCACTGCAATCTCCATCCCCCCAGGTTCAAGAGATTCTCCTGCCTCAGCCTCCTGAGTAGCTCGGACTACAGGCACACAACACTACACCCTGTTAATTTTTGTATTTTTAGTAGAGATGGGTTTCACCATATTGGCCAGGATGGTCTTGATTTCTTGACCTCGTGATCCACCTGCCTCAGCCTCCCAAAGCCCTGGGATTACAGGCGTGAGCCACCTCTCCAGCCTAGAGTAATATTTTTAGGTTTTATGGCAGGCTTTGGGGAAGAAGGGTTGTAGTTTTTATGGCTAGCCTTGGAGAAAAATAAGGGGTCAGAGACAGGAGGTAAAGAGAAGGTCAGAGAGGAACGTTTGTTTCTGGGGCCTTCTTTCCCGAGTATTGTTTTCTGAGACCCTATCAGGTACACTACTGAGGCCAACAGAGGGAAGCAAAATGAAAGCGAAGCAGGAACAGAGGGGAGCAGGTACAACGTGTTGCATGGCTGAGCAGGCCACAGCTTCACCAGAGTGGGCTGGTTGCTCAGTCATGTGAGATGTTTCCAGCAGACCATAAAGAACAGGAAGTGATTCAAAGTCCTTTATCTGGGAGAAGAAAAGAAAGAAATGTGTCTGCTGGCTCCTTCCTGTCTCCTGCTTCCCACGCTGTTCATCCCGCCTTGACTTCGGGTGGCGCAGCTGCAGGGGGAGCAAGGTCACCTGCCACACAGGGTGGTACTGCAGTTGCGTCTAGAAGTGTTGGGAGGTGCCAGGGCCTCCATGGTCCAGTTGGGTTGGACAAGGGTTGGGGAGCTACTGCTGTCTCCACCTCAGTGAACACAATGGAGTCCAGGCTAGTGCCCAGACTTATTCCAGGAAAGGCCAAGTCAGCCACCGGCACTAGGGCATGAAGTTGTGACCATGGCCCAGTAGCATCCAGGATCTCCATGAGCCAGAAATCAGGGGCGTGGAGAGAGGCGAGGCTGAGCAAATCCAAGACAGCGCATTGATCTCCATGAGCCAGAAATCAGGGGCGTGGAGAGAGGCGAGGCTGAGCAAATCCAAGGCAGCGCATTCACTGGGGCTGATAAGCCAAGGACTTGTCACTTTGAGGAGCACTGCAGAGCCTGTTCCCCCATTAGACATTCAGATCACAGCAGCAAGTTAAGGGGTCTGCGTAGTCCCACTGTAAAGAAAGCAAATTAACTTTAGACCATCAGGTTCATGGTTCTTGGAATACTGCCTGACCCTCAGCCTCTCATTTTTTGTGTGTGGACTGAACTTCCGAACCTATGCATATGACATCCTCCAGAACTAGAGCAATGTGGAACTCACTTTAGGACAGTGCTCAAAAACCCTCACAACCTCTGCCCATTTTCACTTCTGGGAGTTTTTCTAAGGCTAACTCAGTTCCTAACTTTGAATTTCAAGGAATCAGATTTTGCTCTCATTTCCAGTCCTTTCTCAAGTTCTGAAGCATTTTGTTTTAATTTTTAAAACATGGTATAATACACACACATACCCATACAAGTGCACAAAACTACTCGTAAAGTTTAATAAACTATTGTAAAATGAAACCCTATGTTACTATCAGGTCAACAAAAAAAAAGAACATTGCCAGCCCTCAGAAGCCCTCCGTATGCCCCTCTAGCAGAAAGAGAAACTATCAATTTTTTTTTTTTTGACAATCACATACTTGTTTTTCTTTATGGTTTGATTTCCCAAAGAATCCTCCCATAGAAAACTGAAGGAATTTGAGGCCAGAAGGAGGAATCTGAGGCCAGAAAGACAGAGGCTTTCATCACCTCGAAATCACAAAAATCAGTATTATAACATGTGCATGTTCTGTTACTTCTCCAGACTACTGATTTTGTAAGCAACAAGCATTTCAGCCCCATATCTTGTCACTTACTGGGGAGAAGAGACAGCAGTCAAGACTTTAGGTAATCAGTTAAAGCTTAAATTCCAGGAAAATACCTGTTAATTGTGTAAGGTCTGACCGTGCTGTGGATGGCATGGCAACCCCCGTGAACTACATGTACACCTCTGGAGGGCCTTACAGAATTAGAAAACATGAAATGGCTGTAAGATCGCAGAAACAGGAAGAAATGATCAACCCCTGTGTGATATTGTGCTGACCTAGAGCCAGGGCCTGAGCAACGCCATTTGTGTTTGGCTTCTGTAAATCAAGCTGCTAGCTTGCTCTGAAAAATGCCCACTATGTAAAGCTGCTTAAACTTTGCTTATCAGTAACTGCTCTCTGTGGCCCTAATGTGACAGGCAAGCAGTCCTAACCCACACCATCTTGGCTCCTGCGACTTGTAATAAGTAACTAAGATCTGTGACTTCCACCAGTATCCAGACAATGTGTAAACTAACTTCTGTAAGCCACTTAGGTAACAATCGAAGTGACAACATGTCCTCTAGCCCTTGGAATGTCCGGAGACCCCCACCCTCATCTCTGCCCAGGAGGTGATTTACAGAATCCACTAGCCCTCGGAATGTCTGAATCCTTTTCATCCCCATCCCCGCTCCTCACCCCCACTCCCAAGGTGGTTTGTCGGGTATAAAAAGTCTTGGCACCCTCCTTTTGACACCACAGGTTGGAGAGACGTGAGTCCTCTCTGATCGCCGGCAATAAAGACCCTACAATCTGGCATACTTTTGTCTTGGTGTTAACTTTCTATGCTCGGTCCAGTATAACACCTGTGGCACCTACTTAACTCTGAGACATTCTCTATTGTTTCTTATTCTGGCCTCAATTGACAAGGCCTTTGGATTTTGTAACCGAGCTTGGCCAACCTCATGACTCCACACCCTACAACCCCCTCCCAGCCTGCAAACCTACGACCCCCTCCCAGCTTGCAAAAAACCACCAACTGGCTAGGTGAGGTGGCTCATACCTGTAATCCCAGCACTTTGGGAGGCTGAGGCAGGCAGATCACCTGAGGTCAGGAGTTCAAGACCAGCCTAACATGGAGAAACCCCATTTCTACTAAAAATACAAAACTGACCAGGCGTCATGGCGCATGCCTGTAATCCGAGCTACTTGGGAGGCTGAGGTAGGAGAATCGCTTGAATCCAGGAATTGGAGGTTGCAGTGAGCTGAGATCGTGCCATTGCACACCAGCCTGGTGCAACAAGAGCAAAACTCCATCTCAAAAAAAAAAAAAAAAAAACAACCAAAACCAAAAAAGCCAAGTGTAACTTCTGTAATTTTCCACTGCCCACCCCAAACCTATAAAACCAACTCCTATCCCACCGCCCTCCACTGACACCCTTTTCGGCCTCAGCCTGCCAGTGAATAAACAGCCATATTGCTCACACAAAGCCTGTTTGGGGGTCTCTTCATTCAGAGCATGCATTTAACATTTGGTGCCGGAAACCCAGGACAGGAGTACTTCTCTGGGGACACCAGCCCCTGTCCCTGCTCCCGCTCTGGGAAGAGACCCACCAGAAACCTCAACACATCAGCCCAGCCCAGCCCAGCAGCTTGTGCTTAGCATGCTGAATAGCTCTCTCGCCACCCTCAGATTGCATAAGCAAGCAGTCTCCCCCTCTTTCTCTCCCTTTTCCTTTATATTAGGGGAGACAATGGCCCGGCACGGTGGCTCATGCCTGTATTCCCAGGACTTTGGGAGGCCGAGGCGGGCAGATCACGAGGTCAAGAAATCAAGACCATCCTGGCCAACATGGTGAAACCCCATCTCTACTAAAAAATACAAAAATTAGCTGGGCGTGGTAGTGTGTGCCTTTAGTCCCAGCTACTCGGGAGGCTGAGGCAGGAGAATTGCTTGAACCCAGGAGGCGGAGATTGTAGTGAGCCGAGATTGTGCCACTTGCACTCCAGCCTGGCGCCTGACTACAGAGCAAGACTCTGTTTCAAAAAAAAAAAAAAAAAAGCGGGCGCGGTGGCTCACGCCTGTAATCCCAGCACTTTGGGAGGCCGAGGCGGGTGGATCACGAGGTCAAGAGATCGAGACCATCCTGGCCAACATGGTGAAACCCCGTCTCTACTAAAAATACAAAAAATTAGCTGGGCATGGTGGTGCGTGCCTGTAATCCCAGCTACTCAGGAGGCTGAGGCAGGAGAATTGCCTGAACCCAGGAGGCGGAGGTTGCGGTGAGCCGAGATCGCGCCATTGCACTCCAGCCTGGGCAACAAGAGCGAAACTCCGTCTCAAAAAAAAAAAAAAAAAAAAAAAAATGGAGAAGGGGAGACAAGTATCTCCCCCTCTCTCTGTCTTCTCCTTTAGAGAATGGGAGACAAGTCTCTCTCCTGACTCTCTTTTCCTTCAAATCTTTCCCCTTCTAGTAGAGACGAAGAGACACTCTTTATCTGTGTGGAGCCAAAGGAGACAAGTCTCCCTCTCGTTCAAAAACTCCGATGTTGGCCACAGACTCGGGAAGACAAGACTCTTCCCTCGGTGTCTGGCCAATTGCAGGGATGCGCCCACATTACAGCCCAGGAATCAGTCAGGGAGGCCTACTGAAAACGCTGGTAGCTGCTCACTCCTTCTCCTAGTCTCTACTCTACTCTTTTCCTTAAAACTTACCTCCTTCACTATGGGCAACATTCAGCCCTCTTGTTCTTCAATCCTCACCTCTAGCCTGAGTCCTATAAAGCCTAAAACTTCTTCAACTGCGCCTGATCTGAAACCTAAATTTCTCTGTAACACAGCCGGGCCTCAATCCAAATGGCCAGAAGATGGCACTTGCAATTTTTCTATTCTGCAAGACTCAAACAATTTTTGTCAACAAAGGGGCAAATGGTCTAATGTGCCAGACGTCCAGGCATCTTTTAACACTCTCGTCCCTCCCTAATCTCTGCTCTTTCTCTCCCTTCTGCCCCTCCTGCCTCCACCAGTAACCCAGAATCCTTCTTGACCATCAATCCTTCCACCTTTCTCCTCCCCGTCTGTCCAATCCAGGCCCCAATCCAGGCCCACCCCCTACCCCCAGAGCCTTCCTTCTCTTCCTCTGCCCACAACCCACCTCCTTATGCCCCTCCTGTCACCTCCCCACCTCACACCTGGTCCAGCTTACAGTTTAGTCTGGCAGCTAACTCCTCTGCCCCTGCTCAACGATTCCCCTTTCCAGAGGTGGCTGGAGCTGAAGGCATAGTTAGGGCGACCTTTCCTTTCTCTTTATCTGATCTTTCCCAAATCGACCACTGGTTAGGCTCCTTTTCATCAGGTCCTCCAATACTTAACCCAGTCCTACAGTCTCACCTGGAGTGACTTAAATGTCGTCCTTACTTCTACTCGCACCCCTGAAGAACACTTAACATGCATTTTCTCACCCGATCAGCCCCTAACATTAAAAAAGCTACAGAAATTAAAATCTGGCCCTCAAACCCCACAAGAGGAATTAATCAACTTCACCTTTAAGGTGGTCAATAAAAGGGAAGGGGCTGCCCAGCAGCAGCGCATCTCAGAACTACAGACACTTGCCTCTGCCGTAAGACAAACCCCACCCACACCACAAGCTCACAAAGACTTCGAAGCCCCCAGACGGCAGTGTCCAGCCACCCCTCCTGGACCTTGCTTCAAAGTGTTGAAAACCTGGCCACTGGGCCAAGGAATGCCAGCAGACCAGGATTCTTTCTAAGCCCTGCCCTGTCTGTGTGGTCTCGTCACAGAAAGTCAGGCCGTCTGACTCACCTCGCTGCTCCCGGAGCTCCTGGAGCTCCAAACCAAAGCTCCCAGACCGAATTGGCTTGGTGGCTGAGGACACACTGCCTGAGCATCTTGGAAGCTCCCTGGACCATCACGGATGCTGAGCTTCGGGTGACTCTTACGGTGGAGGTTAAGTCCATCCCCTTCTTAATCAGCACAGGGCCACCCACTCCATGCTGCCTTCTTTTCAACGACCTGTCTCCTTGGCCTCCATAACTGTTGTGGGAATTGACAGCAAGGCCTCCAGCCTCTCAAAACTCCCCAAGTCTGGTGTCAATTAGGCTGGCACTCCTTTCCACATTCCTTCCTAATCATCCCCACTTGTCCAGTTCCCCTGTCAGGCCCAGATATCCTAGCAAAATTGTCTGCCTCCTCCACTATTCCTGGGCTAAAGCCACACCTCCTTGCTACCCTCCTCCCCAAACCCATACCTCCTTCAACAGCTCCCCTTATGTCCCCCTACCTTAACCCTAAGGTGCAGGACACCACCTTCCCATCCATTGCTACAAGTCACTCACCCCTCCTCATCCCCTTCAAACCTAACCACCCTCACCAGGCCCCGTGCCAGTACCCCATCCCACAACAGCCTTTAAAAAGCCTAAAGCCCGTTATCACCCATCTATTGCAACATGGCCTTTTAATTCCTACAAACTCTCCTTACAATTTCCCTATCCCACCTGTCCAAAAACCAGACGAATTCTACAGGCTAGTCCAAGACCTCCGCCTCATCAATCAGATCGTACTTCCCATCCACCTGGTTGTACCAAACCCCTATATCCTTCTCTGTTCCATACCCCCTTCCACAACTCACTATTCTGTTACCTAGCACAAACCCTGAACCCCATGACTCTATCTCCCGCCCTCTTTGTGCTCCTTTACACTTTACCTCAAGAGCCCTGATACCCACATTGACCAAAAACCACGAGCATATGAACTGTGCATTACAGAATAGCCCTCCCTTATCACTAGCAGCCTTAAAAACATCAATGGCAGGTTTTGCCTATGAAGACATTTACCCTGTCTCTTACTTTACCCTTGGCTACCTTGCCTTGCTCCTCAGACTCTCCTCCAGACCCCTCTTCCTGTCTGCTCATACCCAATCTTGTTAATGAAAATGAGTGGTTACTTATAGATACCACATGCTTTCTCATACACCATGAAAACAAGAGCTCTCCCTCCACACAGTCACCCTACCAAGCCCCACTACAACCTTTAACAGCCACAGCTCCTGCTGGTTCCCTTGGCATTTGGATCCAAAGCCCCAGCCCTTTCTCACACTTTCAGTTTACACTTCCAGTAAGGTCTGACCACACCGTGGATGGCAAGGCGACTCCCGCGAACTGCATGTACACCTCCGGAGGGCCTTTCGGAATTAGAAAACCTAAAATCACCGTTAAGATCGTAGAATGAAGAAGAAATGATCTGTGGGTGGGGGGGATCCCATAAGTGCCAAAGCAGGAGCCAGAAGCCTCAGCCTATTTCCATATAAATAATGAAGAAGAAAGTAACTAGAAATATAATCACAGTAGTTATTATTCATAGCTGATCCAAATTCTTTTACTAATGTTTCTCAGGTCAGAAGTGTGAACCTGGGGTGACACTGTGAAAGAAATGACCCTAAGGCAAGATGCTTTAAGCCCTCTGTCAAGCCCACCTAAGGGCTGCTGGAGGGCGCCTTTGCTCTGCGGCAGCGCTGGCTCTGGGAAAGAGCCCGCTGTTTAGCCAGCTAGGGAAGGAGACATTCAAAATAGCTGAGATGTCTCCTTCCTCAGGGGAGTTAGGAGAAAAATCTGCTCCTCCAAGCTCTTGCGGTAGGCCTGACAGCTGTCAGGCAGGCCCACAGACATCCGGGGGCTTAAATGTCTCTATGTGATGCTGTGCTTCAGTGGTCACATCCATGACCACTCTCATGTTCTGCTTCTGCACCTGGTTCCTTTTTTCTTAGAAGAGATAATCAGTAAAAGTAATACAAATCTTAATGTCTTTGTTCTTTCCTAACATGTATGGAAAAGTGCTCACGCATTATGCGTTTCCTTTTCTTTTTTAAGATGGGCTTTCACCATGTTGGTCAGGCTGGTCTTGAACTCCCGACCTCAGGTGATCCGCCCACCTTGGCCTCCAAAGTGTTTGGATTACAGGCGTGGGCCACCAAGCCGGGCCGATAAAGGTTTTCTTTTAAAAAAAAATTATAACCTCGGGACCGGCCTGGCCAACATGGTGAAACCCTGTCTGTACTAAAAATACAAAAATTAGCTGGTCATGGTGGCAGGCATCTGTAATCGCAGCTACTCAGGAAGCTGAGGCAGGAGAATCACTTGAACCCAGGAGGCGGAGGTTGCAGTGAGCCAAGATCACGCCATTGCACTCCAGCCTGGGTGACAGAAGCGAAACTTCGTCTTAAAAAAATCATAACCACTGGCCAGGTGCGGTGGCTCACACCTGTAATCCCAGCACTTTGGGAGGCCAAGGCAGGTGGATCACAAGGTCAAGAGATCGAGACCATCCTGGTCAACATGGTGAAACCCCGTCTCTACTAAAAAAAAAAAAAAAAAAAAAAGCTGGGCATGGTGGCGCGTGCCTGTAGTCCCAGCTACTCAGGAGGCTGAGGCTGGAGAATTGCTTGAACCCAGGAGGCAGAGGTTGCGGTGAGCCAGGATCGTGCCATTGCACTCCAGCCTGTGTAACAAGAGCGAAACTCCATCTCAAAAAAAAAGAAAGAAAGAGAGAGAGAGAGAGAGAGAGAGAAAGAAAGAAAAAAGAAAGAAAGAAAGAAAGAAAGAAAAGAAAGAGAAAGAAAGATTATAACCACTATACATAAAAATGAACAATAATGCCACAATAGCACCAGAGAATTTTTAAAATACAGATTCCCAGGCCCTGACCCAGACCTACTGAATCTTGGAAATATGCAGGCTTCACACCCAGAGATTCTGGTTCGGTTGGTCTGATGCAGGACCTGTAACCAGAATTGTAACACCTCCAGATAATGCTGAGCCTGCTGGTGCTCAGAGAAAACCTGAAGAAAACCAGGAAGTCTGAGGTTTTCCAGAAGAAAACCAGAGTCCTGAGAAGACAGAGGCACTCAGTGAGGACCCAAGCAGAGCAGGTGAATGTCACATCCTCACTTCTGGCATCCTTTCTCCTACAAGAGGAGACACTGAAAGACCCTCTTCCGGTCCCCAGTGGTGTGGCCAAGAGGCCTGCGCCTCTGACTCTTGTCTCTGTGAAAGCCCACACCCACCAAGCCTATGGTCCTATGACCAAGGGCGCTGGGAATGACGAACTGACTAGACAGGGAGGTCTCCTGCAGTTTGTTTCTACACAGAGGTCACCTGTCAGAGGCCAGCGTGGGGGCCACAAGCCCCCCAATCTCCAAGAACCCCGGGATAAGGAGGCTGCTTCAAGTGGGTGGGGCACCAAGCCGGCCAGGAGGGACAGGGCTTCTCCCAGCGGTACCAACACGGTGGCACCTTCTGCCTGCATTTCCCAGGCTTGCTGGTTGGCCGCTGGGGGGAGGGGAGAAGGGGTGGTGGCCGGGCGGTGGTCGGCTCTGCCTCGATGGTGACTGGACTGCCGTTGACACTGTTCTCTGTGCGGATGGAGATAAAGCCGGTCACTCCAGATTCTAATCAGAGCGCACAGGAGAAGAGCTGGCGCTGCTTCAGTGGCGAGGATGGGTTGATCAGTCCCAGCCGGTGCTAGGGAGAGACACTGGCCCCAGCCTGAGGGCGGCACAGCCCACCCCAGGACCCTCCTAGCAGGAGGGCAGGAACACAAGCCAACCTCTGTAGTCTCCGGCCTGAGAGGGGAACATGATCAAGCCCGGGGCAGCCGCCAGTCGGAGGGGGCAGACGCGGCCCCAGTAGCCTCTGGAGACCCTCTTCCGAGGCAAGGAGTCACAGTCCTGCCATTGGCACCACCAAAGAGGATTTCTACAAACCAAGGTCGAGAACTTTTCGGTGGGGACGCGGCCCACCCCTCGCGGGGGAGGGAGCGCAGCCGTCACCCGGTACTCACTCAGCAACACCGGGCGCCGCGCCGGGTGAAGGCTGGCAGGCGTCTCCCGACCGGCAGGTGGGCTCCGCGTGCCCCAAGTGCGCAGGCACGGGTGCGCGGGGCCACAGCCTGGCGCCCTTTGCAGCCGGCCACCCCTCCCCTTCCCCGGGGGCTTTTGCACACGACGCTCCGCGGGCCGCTTCACACGGGGTGGCGAGGCCCGGATAAAGTCGGCGGCCGCTGGGCTCAGCGGCGGACCTGAGACGTGGGGGCGCTAGGCGTGCGGAGCCAGAGCCGGACCAGCAGCCGCAACGGCAGCCGGGGGACCGCAGGGCCCGGGTCAGAGTAAGCGCGGCTCGCGCGTGAGCGCCACCCGGAGTCCCGCGCGCAACTTCCAGGGCGCACTCGGCGGGCGGGGGCGGCGCTGCCGGGACCCGGCGCTGGGCAGCATGGAGGCCACGGAGAAGCAGCACCTGTTGGACGCCAGGCCCGCAGTCCGGTACGACGAGAGCTTGGGGACAGGCGGAAATTTGGGCGGCAGCCGACGCACCTCCGCGCTTGCCATCCTAGCAGTGGTTCGTTTTGGCGGCGGCTTGAGCTGGGGGCACGCAGGAAGGGTGGGGTGAGGTGAGGGCTGTGGCCCAGGGTCCCCTGGGGCCCAGCACAGATCCTGACCCCTGCCCCCGGGGGGTGGGTGAGTGGCGGTTCCCCTGCCTGGAATCCTGCCCCGCCCAGCACTTTGCCCCAGGCAGTCCCGCCCCCGGGAGGCCCTGTGTCCCAAGTGTGCTGGAGGGGGACTTGCTCTTCTCCCAGAGCCTGCGCTCTGTTCCTTCCCCATGCTCCACTGGACGGCACGCCCCTTGGCCGGTTCCCAGGGTCTTGGCCTCCTCTGGCCTCTGAAGGGATTGAGGAGGAGAGAACACTCCGGGACCAGGACCCCAAGACTCCCATTCCCTTAGCATCCCCGTCTGAACACAGGCTTCTCACCTCTGGTCACTCCTCAGGGATTGTCGACTTGGAGTGTTCTTACCTATTTTTCCCAGAGGACACAGGCCTCACAGAGAAATGGAACCAGAGTCCGCCCTCCTTGCCCCATCTCAGAGCTGAGCATGCCCCCTCTCTTCCTCTCTGGCCAGGACATACACCGGATCTCTGTGGCAGGACGGGGCTGGCTGGATCCCTCTGCCCCGACCTGATCTGGACTTGCAGGCCATTGAGCTGGCTGTGGAGAGCAATCATTACTGCCATGCTCAGAAGGGTCCTAGCAGTGACTGTGACTCCAACAAGGGGCAGGCCCGGCGCCAGCTCTATGTAGCCTCTGCCATCTGCCTGGTGTTCATGACCGGAGAAGTCATAGGTAAGTACTTTTGGGCTAATTAAGTGAAGTAGGCGAATGGATAGACTGGATACTCCCAGCAATACTGACACTAATAGCCCCTCTTATTGAACACTTACCATGCTAAGCCTTTGGATACACATTATCTGATGCAGGGCTAACAACAACCTGTGTTATCACATGGGTGACGTTATTTTCTTATTTTACAGACCATGAAACCAAGGCATGTTCAGTTAAGTAACTTGCAAAGATCACGCACAGCTAGTAGCTAAGGGAAGGCCTGAATTCCTAGAAGGAAAGAGCATTTACTGAGGACCTACTTTGCTTTCCAGTCTCTATGTGAACTTGATGTGCACATCCACCCTCTAAGATGTTGGTGGCCCATTTCACAGGGGGTGGAAGTTGAGGCTCAGAGAGAGTAGGTTGCTTGCTCACGGTTGTACAACTCATGGGTGGAGAGATCTTGAACTCAGCATGGCTTTTTCCAGAGCCTGTTTTCTCCCTGCTGCACACACAGTCTGGGGAGCCAGCTCTTTGGGAAGCTGATAAGGATCCTCCACCCTCTGGCCCTGACCCTGCAGGTGGGTACCTGGCACACAGCTTGGCTGTCATGACCGACGCAGCGCACCTGCTCACCGACTTTGCCAGCATGCTCATCAGCCTCTTCTCCCTCTGGGTGTCCTCCCGGCCAGCCACCAAGACCATGAACTTTGGCTGGCAGAGAGCTGGTGAGGATTGTGGTTGGCTGGAGATGGGGTTGAGAGAGAGGGTGAGTTAGAACAGGGGTTCTCAGGTAGCTATAATGGGTGGATCCCCCATTCCTCCCCTAAGTGAGGCCAGGAGGGTAATCTGGATGGGGGATGGGGGAAGAGGATCTCAACCATGGCCTCTGTCCTCTGCGAAATTCCAGTCGTATGGGGAGCCCTGGTTTCAGTCATCCAGGAGCTCTCAGTCTGCAGGAAGCAAAGTTCACTGTCCTAAGAAGTGCAGTAGTGGGACAGGCACAGTGGCTCACACCTGTAATCCCAGCACTTTGGGAGGCCGAGACGGTCAGATCACAAGGTCAAGAGATCGAGACCATCCTGGCCAACATGGTGAAACCCCATCTCTACTAAAAATACAAAAATTAACTGGGCGTAGTAGCACACGCCGGTAGTCGCAGCTACTCAGGAGGCTGACGAAGGAGAATCGCTTGAACCCGGGAGATGGAGGTTGCAGTCAGCCGAGATCATGCCACTGCACTCCAGCCTGGGCCACAGAGCGAGCCTCCGTCTCAAAAAAAAAAGAGAAGTGCAGTAGCCAAGCTTCAAGAACAAATGACAATGGCATTAACACTGCACATAAATCTGTGGATCAGCTCTAGGGGGAGGGGAAGGCCGGCAAAGCCTGCTGGAAGGTATAGGTTTTAACTTCTCTTCTGTTCTCTTGGGGCTGCATAGTCATCTTCCTCTTTGTGGGAGATGGCCCAGCCTCTCTTACCCAGAAGCCTCAGTTTACTAGCTGGACAAAAGGCATATATTTTAATAAGCCAGCTTCTTTACATGTACAATAAAAAAGGTGCACTCAGATGATGACTTATTTGTTCCTTCTAGCTCTGACATTCCCAAATATATGAGTGGTGGGGTAAGGAGCAGCCATGCCAGCCATACCTTTAGCAGAGCCCAGTGGGACCCAGGCCTTGACTTTGTGTGGGGAGTGGGTGGGGAGGATCCTGAAGGAAGAGGGAAACCTCCTTAGCCTCAGGGCCCATGCCGAGGCGGGTATTGGGGTTGGGTTCTTCCTCAGAGATCCTGGGAGCCCTGCTCTCTGTGCTGTCCATCTGGGTGGTGACCGGGGTACTGGTGTACCTGGCTGTGGAGCGGCTGATCTCTGGGAACTATGAGATTAACGGGGGGACCATGCTGATCACGTCGGGCTGCGCTGTGGCTGTGAACATCATGTGAGTGGGGCCCCGGTTCCCCTCCTCCTCCCACCTCTCACACCCATACCTGTGTCTGCTTTGTGGAAGGAGACCGTACCACTTTCCAGCATAGGGCACAGGGACAGAGCTTCCCTAACGGTCTGAGCTCTGACACCTGGAACACCTGGGTCCTGTCTTAGGCCTAAGCCAAGAACACTGGGAGCTGTAAATCTGAGTCCGCATCAACCCTACACACTCCCTGATACATATCAGGGACTAACCTGGGTGGCTTCATACCTGAAGTGGGGTGGGAAGAGGCTAGTTGTTGCAGGAGTGGATGGCCCTAGGGGCAGAACCCAAGTCTGAAATTGGTCTCAGTTAGAGACAATGGTGTACTGAGCATGGGTGTCTCTTTCGGGCTCTTTATCTCCTTTGCTCAGAGCCTCAGTTTCCCCATCTGTGACATGATGGAGTGAACTTACAGTGACCTCTGTAATGCCCTCCTGCTCTGAGATTTGGCATTGTGGCATTGTGCCCAGACTCAGCTTGGCCTTGGAACTGAGTCCTATCTCCCGTGGCTCTCTGAACCAAGGCCACGTGGGTTGGACTTCTCATATGGCCAAAAAGATCACAGGGTATGGGGGCTTGAGATTTTTGCCCTACAAGTTGGCTAGCCCTAATAGGTGACCTCCATCTGCGACCTCAGTGAGCCCTTGGCTTTGTCTCCACTGCCATAGAATGGGGTTGACCCTTCACCAGTCTGGCCACGGGCACAGCCACAACACCAGCCAGCAGCAAGAGAACCCCAGCGTCCGAGCTGCCTTCATCCATGTGATTGGGGACTTTCTGCAGAGCGTGGGCGTCCTAGTAGCAGCCTATATTTTGTACTTCAAGGTCAGTGCTGGGGACACAGGGCAGTGGGGTTGGCAGAGGAGTGTAGACCACCTGGGTATCCTCTCGGCAGGGGCCCCTTTTCAATTCTAGCTCCCTCCGAGTTCTGGGGAAAAGGGTGAGGAAAGGAAAGGAACATTTATCTGATACCTACCAAGTGTCGGCACTTCATGTGGTAGTGTTTTCCGTAGCTCAGAAAGGTGCACCGACTTGCATAGTGTCACACAGCTGGTAAAGCGTAGAACCAAATTCAAACCCACAACTGTGTGTTGTCAAACCCTGGGCAGTGCCCATCACATAGAGGCAAGGAGCTATAGTGGAAAGAGCCAAGCATTGGCATTGTTATGAAGCTTGGCTCTCCTCCTTGCTAGCTGTGTGATGCTGGGTGAGTTGCTTGCCCTAATGAAGCCTCATTTCCCCATCTGTCAAATGGGGATGGATGGCGGATCAGATGGTGTCTAAGATTCCTTTTTGCTCTGTCCATGTCTCAGCTCCTTGAGAAGGAGGGGTGGGAAGGGGCTGCCTCATTCTGAACTGTGGTCTGTCCTTTCTGCTCTTGCAGATGTGAAATAAAGAGTCGAAAACTGGGAGGCAGGGCCAAAGCGAGGCTCATGCCCACCCACCAGAGAGAGCCCCTCTCCCCAACAGTGCTGGGTGGGAGGGGAGAAGGAAAGCAGAGGTGTTAGATGCCCTCCTTTCTTCCTTCAGCCAGAATACAAGTATATAGACCCCATCTGCACCTTCCTCTTCTCCATCCTGGTACTGGGGACAACCTTGACCATCCTGAGAGATGTGATCGTGGTGTTGATGGAAGGTAACCTGGGCTTTGCAGCTCCCTTTCTGCTCTTGGCTGTCAAACTCTAATCAGCTCAAATGGGGTATGTGTGTGTCAGGGGCATCCCAGCACATGTGTGGGGAGCCATGATCTGGAGCCCCCACATAGGCTGGACAGCCTCGTGGGGCCCAGGGCCAATCTTGACATGGAGCCTGGGCTTTTAGGTGTGGCAGTTCCTGGAACCATCCCCAGCCCGAGCCTTCCCTTCCCCCTAGCCCAAGGGTGCCTCCTCCTCTGCCTTGTCAAGTGGCTTTTGGGGTGACATCTCTAGCATCTGGAGCTCTCCAGCCCTCCCCTATAAAATTCCTGAGTCTCTGGCTGCCTTCTCTCAGGAAGACAGAGGGGGTGAGGATTATGCATCCCATTGTACAGAGGGGCAGACTGAGGCTCAGAAAAGAACAGTCAGTCTTAAACAAAGCTACTGAATCCACCGCAGTTCAGGCGTTTCCTACATCTCAGGGGCCAAACAATGCCATACCCTGGGAGGACATGGCTGTACTTTGTGAGGCTGGAGAACTGTCAGTGGTGGAGAATGATCTGGTCTGCCCTGAATTACCTTTTATTATTTATTTTTTTTGAGATGGAGTTTCATTCTTGTTGTCCAGGCTGGAGTGCAATGGTGCAATCTCGGCTCACTGCAACCTCTGCCTCCCAAGTTCAAGTGATTCTCCTGCCTCAGCCTCCCGAGTAGCTGGGATTACAGGCACCCACCACCATACCCAGCTAATGTTTGTACATTTTAGTAGAGATGGGGTTTCTTGAAACCAGACTGGTCTCGAACTCCTGATCTCAGATGATCCACCTGCCTCAGCCTCCCAAAGTGCTGGGATTACAGGCATGAGCAACTGTGCCCAGCCTTTCTTTCTTTTTTTTTTTTTTGAAACAGGGTCTTGCTCTGTCATCCAAGCTAGAGTGCATTGTCAACACCACAGCTCACTGCAGCTTTGACATCCCAGGCTCAAGTAATCCTCCTTCCTCAGCCTCCCAAGAAGTTGGGACCACAGGCACATGCCACCATGTCTGGCTAACTTTTAAACTTTTTTGTAGAGATAGGGGGGTTTCGCCATGTTGCCCTGGCTGGTCTTGAACTTTTCGGCTCAAGCAATTGTCTCACTTCAGAGTCCCAAAGTGCTGGATTACAGATGTGAGCCACCACACCTGATCCTGCACCTTGGTTTTCTTATGCTCTAGGCCTGGAGTCTTGGGCCAGGGTCATAGGCCTCTGTGTGGTCAGGGTCAGTCTGAAATTGAGTAGGATGCTGGCCTGGGCTTAGCAGGATTATTTGGCTGCAGGTCAGAGCTTTTTCTCCAAGAATATGATGGATTCAGAAAAAAGCGATAATGATGAAGATGATGATTGTGCCCTGGATGGGTCTAAGGATTCTCAGGATCTGTTCTTTCCTTCTTTCCATTAAAAAATATATTTATTGGATGGGCGCAGTGGCTCACATCTATAATCCCAGCACTTTGGGAGGCGGAGGCAGGCAGATCACCTGAGGTCAGGAGTTTGAGACAAGCCTGGCTAACACAGTGAAACCCTATCTCTACTAAAAATATAAAAATTAGCCAGGCATGTCAGCACACACCTATAGTCCCAGCTACTCAGGAGGCTGAGGGAGGAGAATTGCTTGAACCTGGGATGGGAAGGTTGCAGTGAGCCGAGATCATGCCATTGCACTCCAGCCTGGGCGACAGCAAAACTCCATCTCATAAAAAAAAAAAAAAAAAAATATATATATATATATATATATATATATATATATATGTATTTATTTATTTGTTTGTTTATTGAGCACCTACTATGGAGTAGGCATTGTTCTAGGCACCAAGGATACTGTGGTAAACAAAGGAGACTGTCCTGCCTTCATGGAGTGTCCATTTTTAGAGGGGGAGTCTAACAATAAGTAAATTCACAAATAATTTCAGACAGTGTTAAGGGTGGAGAGGAAATGCAACAGACTGATAGGGTGGAGAGCGTGGGTGGTGAAGGCAGCCTCAGACCTGCTGACCAAGGAGGTCTTCTTTGAGGGGATGACGCTTGAGGAGCAGGAGCCAGCCCTGCACCAATGGGCAGGCGTGGGAGGGCAGTTTCCTTTAGCCCCTGTCCTTGCCATCCTCAGGGACCCCCAAGGGCATGGACTTCACAGCTGTTCGGGATCTGCTGATGTCAGTGGAGGGGGTGGAAGCCCTGCACAGCCTGCATATCTGGGCCCTGACCGTGGCCCAGCCTGTTCTGTCTGTCCACATCGCCATTGGTGAGTGCTTGGGACACTCAGGATGGGGTGGGAGACACGCAGCCAAAGGTGTGGTGCCATCCCCATCGGGTCCAGGTGACCCCAGATGCTCACAGTGTCCATGCATCAGGCCCAGCCTCATGCTGAGTACTTGATATGCATTATTCCATCTGATCATCACAATCTCAATTACCCATAAAGACACTGAGGCTGGGGTTGGGTGGTAAAGTACTTGCCCAGGCCCCCTACCCTTTTGTTTTTTTGAGACGGAGTTTCACTCTTGCTGCTCAGGCTAGAGTGCAGTAGCGAGATCTTGGCTCACTGTAACCTCCACCTCCCCGTTTCAAGTGATTCTCCTGGCTCAGCCTCCTGAGTAGCTGGGCTTACAGGTGTGCGCCACCACCACCACCCCCCCCGATCGCCCCCGCCCCCCGCTAATTTTTTTTGCATTTTTAGTAGAGACGGGGTTTCTCCATGTTGGTAGGCTGGTCTCGAACTCCCAACCTCAGGTGATCCTCCCGTCTCAGCCTCCCAAATTGCTGGAATTACAGGTAGGCATGAGCCACCACATGCGGCCCCAGGCTTTTACAGCTAGTATATGGCAGTAGGTGGCAGATTCCTGGCCCTAAGACCAATGCTCTACCAGCTCTTTCAGGCATGAGCCAGGTCTGGGCTGGGAGGGTACCTGGCAGAGGAGTGGAATCTGGGGGTTTCTCCATGTTCATGGTCCCCCATCCTGTTCTGCTGGGGATAGGGTATGAGACCCGGGCTCCTGATGGTTCCAAAGGGCCAGGAGTAGTAAACAGCTTTCTGGTACCTCCCCGCTGTGTCCTCTTGGCCCCCAGCTCAGAGTACAGATGCCCAGGCCGTGCTAAAGACAGCCAGCAGCCGCCTCCAGGGGAAGTTCCACTTCCACACCGTGACCATCCAGATCGAGGACTACTCAGAGGACATGAAGGACTGTCAGGCATGCCAGGGTCCCTCGGACTGACTGCCTGGCCAGCTGCCAACTGGGGCATGGACAGGACCTGCAGGTGGCTGGACTGAGTGTCCCCCAGGCCCAGCCAGGACTTTGCCTACCCCAGCAGTGGTATAAACCGGGCACCCCCTCCTGACCTCTGCTTCATGTTCAGTGTAGAGCCTTGCCCCACTTCAGGAATGGAGCTCTTCCCTGCCTCCCCCACCTGACTACAGCCAGCGCCAGGGTGGGGACTCAGCGGGTACACAGCTAGTGTGACCCTGCTCCTCCAGCACCTGGGCTAGGTCTGGAAAGGCTGTGTTTGGGCCTAATCCTCAGCAGATGTCGCTCTACCACTCGCAGGGACAAAGGCAGTGAACCATGGGACGTCCAAGGGGAGGCTGGCCCCAGTGCACCCCTACAACCTGCCTTGTCCCCCATTTCAGCCTGACTGGCCTTTGCCTTTATGACTCTGAGCCCTTTCCTCTGCCTTTAGCAATAGGGTTTAAGGAGGTCACAGGGGTGAGGACCACACACTCTCATTCTAGCCCCCTGAGGCAGGGAGCCAGGAGGCACCTAAGGCTTGCCTGTGCCTTAGTCACCTCTGCTATGAGCCAAATGTCCCCTTTCCTGGAGGAGAGGCTTCTTCCTAGGTAAGGGACTGGTTTCCTCTTTCCCTATTCCCTCAGCTGTGCTAATACAAAAAAGAACCTTGGCACAGATGGTGGGGGTGGGAGGCGTACAGAGATTTCTTGGGTTCTGCATTAACAGCCTGTAAGCCCTCTGGCACTTCTGTTGCCCTGAGAGTGTTCCCAGGGATTCCAAGCCTCCAGAAAGATACAGCTGGGCCAGCTCTGCTGTCTACCTGGCCTGACCCGGTCGGAGCCTGGGTGTGGAGACGGGAGAGGGAGAGAAGCGGGGCTGCCCTTGGCCCAGAGGCCAGCTAGGAGGGAGACCACGGCTTCCTGGGGCTTGTGTGTGAAGATTCCCAACAGGGGTGGCTTGTGTTTACAAGATGCAAGAGGGGAGACCTGTCCCCAACTCACCAAGACAACTTAGTTATCAGGGAGTCCTGCGTCACAGGGTCTGTCTCTGCCATTGTAAGCAAGTGCCTCAGTTAATGCCTCCCTCTCAGGGTTGAGAACAAAAGCCAGTTGGCCAAGGACCTGTGGTTGTTGTATGGTTACTTTCATCACCCTGGAGGCAGGGAACTCTGTGGCCCGAGGCTGCCTTACTGAGGAGCCACGGGGCTTCCCAGCCTTCCCAGGGGCAGCGAGTTTGTCTTGACTGTTTTGGCCCAAGGTGAGAGGACGTGGGTTTGGTCACTTGCCTCCCACTTTAAATCTCTTTCCGTCTGTGAAACGACCTCTTTGTGCCTTCCCAGCGCTGTCATCCTGATCTAAGTCAGTGGGTCCTTCAGCCCCTCCAGGTCTGTGTGGAGAGGGGTGGGCGTTGCAGGCGGCCGCTCCGTTCCACCACAATCTCAAGGGATTCAACCCTCTGACCGTCCCCTGCCCTGCCCAAGTCATGGCAGGCCCCCAGGAACTTGATCCTGGGCTTTGTTCTGTGCCAAGTCCTTATATCTCTCTCAAGAGACAGTCATTGTCTGGGTGTGGTGGCTCACGCCTGTAATCCCAGCACTTTGGGAGGCCGAGGCAGGCAGATGTCTTGAGACCGGAGTTCAAGACCAGCCTGGCCAACATGGCAAAACCTCATTTGCACTAAAAATACAAAAATTAGCCAAGCGTGGTGGCATGTGCCTGTAATCCCAGCTACTCGGGAGGCTGAGGCAGGAGACTCACTTGAACCTGGGAGGTGGAGGTTGCAGTGAGCCAAGATAGCACCACTGCACTCCAGCCCAGGTGACAGAGCGAGACTGCATCTCAAAAAAATAAATAAATAAAAGAGACCATCATTGCTATCCCACATTCTTACAGATGAAAAAACTGAGGCTCAGAGATTGATTCGTTTTCCTGAAGTACTCAGCCAGTGTGGGCAGGTCTGGGATTTCTGCTTTATTCCCCTAGACCTTCCTTTACTGCAGGGGCTGGGGGCCTGGTGTGGGCTGCTTGTTGATACAGTACGAGCCCTTGGGACCAGCAGTGCCTGATCCACTGGCAAGGCCATGCCAAGGCAGTTCAGTGTCCTGGGTGTCACAGCTGTGATTGGAAAGGTGCCTCTTTTCCCTGGCTGGACCCTGGGAAGGCTGCCTGGGCCGCAGCTGTATGCTTTCCTACCCACCCTCAGTTCTTGACTCCAGCCCAGACTGCCTCTCCCCCACCACTTTCATTTCCAGTCCCCCCTGTAGCTCAAACATCTCGCAGCACCACGCCTCCCAAGGGTGACCCACTCTACCACTCAGCTGTGATTGGCTCCAGGGAGGATCTGAGTCATCCAGGGGCCCTACGTCCAGCTAGGGGGTGGGGGTGGAAGGCCTTGGAGAGGCCTAAGGGGACAGCATGTTCCTGCCAGTGAGCCAGTCACGGGAGTTTCCAGAGCTACGAGGCCATCAAAGCAGGAAAACACCTGACACCCTGGACTTGGGCTGGACCCGCCACCCTCACCCCCTGGAGTCGACCCTGCTCCCAGGCAAGCCCTAAGCCCTGAGCCTTTCCCTCCAGCAGCTGCTGTAAGGGTATTTATAGCCTGGAGCGTGAGGGGACAAGGACACGCGCTTTATTTCCGAAGTGATAATTCCAGTTCCAGGTAGGTGAACCCGGGAGGACCTAGTGTCCCCGCCCCAATTCCCACCTCAACTATAGTCCCTGTTCGGGACAGTCCCCACTCGCGCCCAGCCCACCTAGAAACAGTCCCTTCTTACTGAGTTCCAAGTGTTCAGGCCAAAGAGATGGGACTGTTCTTCAGATTCCTCTCCCCAGATTTCAGACTCTCAGCTGCCCACAGCGCTCACCCTCCACGTCCCCGGCAGCCCTCTGCCCTGCGGGTGGGGAGTGCGGCGCGGCGCTGACCTCTAGTGGTCAGCATTGGTAGTGCAAGGCAGACGGCCCAGGTTGAGCCGCGGGGGCGCACCGGGCGGGGGACAGCCACTTGTTCCCATCCCGCTTTCCTCACCCCACTCCTCGTGTACCCGCACCCTTCTGCTCCTTGGCTGAGGCCCAAGGATTGGGCCTGGCAACGCAGTCGTCTTTGGGTAGCTGCCTTCCCGGGACTAGGAACCCTGGATGGAGGGAGCTCTGTCTCTCCGCTCAGTGTCCCACCTCCACCCGCATCGAGGCAGGCACGCAGTTAATGTCTGCCATCAATCCATTTGTCAAATATTTGCGGCACACCTGCCGGGTCAGAGAGAAAAGGACACGACACGACCCGCCCCCCGCTCCTCCACCGGGCCCGCAAGCCAGTCCTGGGACCTGACCGGGCGGGATCGCGGCAAACACTGGGCTGCGAAAGCGCAAAGGAGACCCAACCCATCCGGGTCGGGGAGGAAGGAGAGGCAAGTCCCTGGAGGAGGCGATGCTCTGAAAGACAAGCAGAAGTCAGCTGGGTGAAGACGCAGAGAGAGGGCGGCGCTCCAGGCACGGTGCTCGGCCTCTATTAGCTCTGCCGCCGAGGGCTGGCGGGAGAAGATAAGGCCACACCCCCTGCTGTAATTGGCCAACCGGGGTCCGACATGTGGGCCCTCTGGCTGCCATGATTGGTTTTCCCGTGTCCCTGGGCGGAGCCCGCAGGCAGGTGCTGCGCCCTCTGGGAGCAGGGCTGGGACCTCCGCTGGGGTCTCTGCGAGTCGCCCCCTAGGGCTTCTCCAGGCTGCGGTACTTCTTGCGCTGCACGGACACCGGGTCCTTAAAGAGCACCGGGTCCAGACGCAGACGAGAGGACCGCAAGGGCATGTGGCCGAACGCTGCCGCTATCTGGTTGATGCAGTTGGGGTCTGGGGCCTGCAGCTTTGGCCCGGTGTCCGGGCCCCCAGGCACCTAACAGGAACAGAAGCAATGCGTTAATGGCCTTCTCTGCCTTTCCGAACTCCCACGCCCGTGCAGCAAGAGAAACTAGAATTAGACAGTGAGAGGAAATCCTCCCCGCCATCCCTGCCAGTTCCGACCAGTCCCCCTCAGCCCTCACCAGTGGAGCAGCCTCCTGTCGCTGCTTGCCATAAGGAACCTTGATAGGGGGCAGCTTGGTGACTGCCGCTACTAGGAAATTCATCAGGACGTCCACACAGGTGGGTGCCTCATCTGCCAGGGTCCTCAGAGCCTTGGGCAGGGAGTGGGTGAAGAGAGTGTGGTAATACCTGGACAAGGGGAAAGGACAGGGAGAGATTGCAGAAAAATTCATCCCCAGGCCCCATTCTCCTCCCCTCTGACTTCACCTCTCCCTTCCATCCCCGAGCCTCTGAGCTCTGGCTGCCTCCGAGAGTTCCCATCCCTGACATAAACAGCTCTCCACTGTGCTGTGCCCAGGGCTCATCTGCAGCCAGTGGTGTGTTCCCTGCCCTCTCCCCCAAAGCTCCTTGGGGCTCCCATCCTTGGGCTCTGAGTTCTGAACTCAGGCAGAGCCAAAATTAGGTGGGCTGGGATCAGCTGGTTTCAAAGCCATCAAACATGGCAGCCCAAAGACCAGTTGTGGATGAACCAGGCTGATGCTGCTCTGGGTGAGCCTCACTTCACACGGCCCTCAGACAGGCCAACCTCACCTCGCAGACACTCGATTATTCTTCACTCTACTGAGAATTCCCTGCAGAGCTCCTGGGTACTCTACAAGAGGTTCCAGGTTATGCACATTTGATTTAAACATGTTTAAGGAACCCCTCTAAAGAGGTCCTGCAGAATTCAGTCCCTACCCCAAGACCGGAGCACTTCAGGCACCTTCTGGAAGGTCTGGGATGGTCCCCAACCCACACATCCACATTTACAAAGCATCAGGATTATTCTTTTGTCACCCCACCACCAGAAAACCCACACACTGCCCTTATTCACTCCATGGCTTTACTTAAAATAACAATTGTTACCATTTGTGGAACCTCTGTGTGCCAGGGACTTCATTTAATGATCACACCAGCCCTGGGAGGTGAGTCCATCCCATTTTACAGTTGAGGAAACAAACTCTAAAGAAGTGGGGAGATTTGCCCAGGATCCCACAACTAGGAAGTGGCAGATCTGGGCCTTGAACCTGGATCCCTGGGGTTCAACCTGAGCCACCTGCTCCTGGTTCGGGGTAGAGGGGTCTCTGATCCTCTGATCCCTTTGCAGGGTGAGGGTCTGTACCTATGGTAGAAGGCAGCCATGGTGAGAACCATGGAAAACTCATTTGTCCTCTCAGCAGTGTAGCCCCAGCCACCATGGGCCTCGTCCCAGAAATGGCTCGACGTCAGGAAGCCCACCATCCGCTCCGGGAAGCTCTGCCACACCACAAAGGCAAAGTCCACCTGGAGAGGGACTCAAGTAAGCTGTGAGGAAGGACCTCCTAAATACCTAGGACATCCAGAGAAATGGAGGCAGGGCCAGCCTGGTTGAGGGCCAGGACAGGACTCAGGGGAGAGGAGACGGGAGCCATGACTTGGAATTAGCTGGAAGTGTGGCATGAAAGCTTCCAGGGGGCACAAAAACAATGTTCTCAAATGAGTTCATGGAAAGCTTCAAGGCTCCTAAAGAGAGGGCTGCCTGGCTTGCTGGGGTGGCTTCAAATGCAAGAGGCTGGACCTCAGGACCTGGGATCTCCCCAACTCTGGGAACTTGAGGGACTGCCAGGGCCCTCTGGCTCTGTGTCTACCCACACGGGGCTTCTCTTGGGCCCAGCCCTCACCTCACTTGTGGAAAGACTGCTGCGGGCATCGAGGCTGAGGATGGCATCAGTTCTGATGGTGCTGTATGGGAAGAAGCGATCACTAACCTGTAGGAGGAGAAGAGAGGCGAACTCAGCCATTGGAACCTCCCTCCACCCCCATCCAATAAGTAGAAGCCCTTCAGGCACAGTGTAGACACTTGGGCCGTGAATAAGGCAAGCCTGTGTAGAGCTCGCAGTGTAGAGACCTGGGTTGCAAATACGGCAAGCCTGTGCAGAGCTCGTAGTATAGACACCTGGACTGTGAATACAGCGAGCCTGTGCAGAGCTCATTCTGGGACCTGGGTAACTCATTTGACCTCTTGGATTTCAGTTTCCCCTTTGGTAAAATGGGGCAGTTAGTCTCTAGGGACCCTTCCAGTTTTGACATCTTGGGATTCCTCCATTGTCATGTTGTCATATCAACTTGGGAGGAATTGTCAAACATCTCTCATTTGAAAGAAACAGATCTAGAGAGACGAAGGGACTTGCCCACAACCATGTGGCAGGCATGGTTCCAACCAACCACGGTTCCCAGAAGCCACCCCTTCCTGGCCCAGTGTGCTGCCCTTTGTCCATGTTTTCTCAAGATCCCGGGTTTCTCCTCCGTTTCTCATCTGAGATATCAACACACTCCTCTGTCTTCCCCCATCACATAAGCCCCAGTGCTTTGGAAGCACAATTCACAGGGACCAGGGAGGGAAGAGAATCATTACTATTAGCCCTGCGGCTGAAACCTACTGTGCCATTCTTCAGGCCCAACTGCAGGTCAGGCCCAGGTATTCATAAGACACTCCATGGGTGCCCTCCCCCAGCTCCCAGCATGGGCCCACCCCATTCATGCCTCTCCTCATCCCTCACCTTCCTGCACCCATCAATGACTGTCAAGGGCACTGCTGTTTCCGTCCACCTGGATGGGAGTGGCCTCTCATTGCTCCAGAGAACCAAGATCTAGAGGACAGGAGGTTGTTCCTGAAGTCTGGTATCTGGGGCAGAAGGTGGGTTATGGGACGTGGGGGAGCAGGAGTGATCTTTCTCAAGGTGGAAGAAGTTTTTTTATGGAAGAAGTCAGCTTTATAAAGTGCACATGGGAGAAGGGATTAGTTGGCTCCAAGGTCCTTTTACTGCTGCCCTGTCCTTGCCTCTGGGCTTGTAGGAGGCAGGAATTCTGGTGACATGAAGGTGGTGACCTGTGACTTTAGAATTCAAGATGCTCCATCCCCATCTTTTCTCTAAGGTTTCAATCTCTTCCTCAGCCTCTTTTATCACTCCCAGCCCAGCTCAAATGGCCTATTTGGAGCCTTTCTGTGTGCACCACAGCTCAGCTAACTGCTTCACTTCCTCTGCAAGAACTCTAGTGAGTCTATCTGGCTTCTCTAGAAGTAAGATTTGACAGTTAGTGTGCCGGAAAATGCTAACTCAGTCTGAATCTCTGGGCAGAATGCTTCCCTGCTTTTTCTCTGCTCAGCATTGAGCCCAGGGCCTAGTGCTCAGAAAATGACTGCTGAGTAAAGAATGAATGTTTCCTTCTCCAGCCTCCCAAAGAGACACCTGCTTTTCATGTGGCTTCATCAATTTCTATGGGGAAAAGGCAACAGAATCTTGGGACTTACAGAAGAAGGCAGCAAGAACACTCAGAAATCTTTCTCATGCCTCCCCGCAAAATGAGTGGTCATCCTTGGGGTCTAGAAGTCATCAGGGCCTTGCCCTGTCCCTTGCCCCCACCCTGGATCCCAGTACTCCAGCTGGGAAGGGAACAGACCTGGGCACAGTGCTGAGAGCCTGCCACCGCCTGGATGAGCTTCAGGGGGGGCTGGCCAGAGGCCCCCACCCAGATCAGGGCGCTGAATCTGCCCTCAGGGCGGGAGCCTGGGGGAATGAGACACAGGCTATTAGGTTGGGAGGGAACAGAACCCCATGAAGAATGACCTGAGTAGGGAGTCCCGGGGGCTAAGGAGGGTCTTGGTGGGGCTCTCCGGAGAAGGCTGGGGCAGCCCTGGGTAGAGTTGAGGGAACTTCAGGTTGTCCCATCCCCAGGGCATACCCTGTTGCAGGTGGTAGAAGGGGAAGTCCTGGGGGCTCGTGGAAAAAGTAGACAGGGCCAGGAGTGCCCCTGGGGGACTGTTCCACAGTAGTGAGGGGTGAGCTGATGTTCCAAAGATCCGGTCCTGAATAACCTGAATGAGAGAGGAGCTGAGCAGAGCGAGGGATCTCTGTGACCATGGCCACACCTCTCCTTCCAGGCTCTGGGGAAGGTGGCAGCTGCATCGCCAGACCCCTGGGGTCAGAAGCTGAAGTCTAGCATAGGGCGCACTCCATGATGTTGCTCCAGAGGTGGCAGATGGTGGCAGGGTCACTGCTTCCCCTTCCTTCCTTGCCAGTGACAGATGTCACTAATGGGTCATGACATTCTTTTGGGACTCAGAATCTCTCCCAACATAGCACCCCAGGCAGTCATCAGCAGTCAAGTGGCATTGGTGCATGCTTTAAAATCTATTGGCCACAGCCATCTTCTCTACAGATGGGGAAACTGAGGCCAAGACTGGAGAAGAAACTTGCCCCAAATCTCACGGCCAAGTCTCAGATTCATCCCAGGACCATCTTCAAGATGGGGCGATCCCTAAACACTGGGACAGAGGAGTATGGAGAGGTGACAGGGATGAAGCAGGAGTCAAGGGCCAGGACCGCCATCAGGTGAGCCCCCTCACCTCCAAAGTGGTATGGATGACCTTCTCCACAGAGGAGAAGTAGGCATCCCACAGAAACTGGGTCTGCTGACGAAGGGCGAGGACCTGTGCAGGGGACATCTCCTGGAGGGCAGCCAGGACCTGGGGCAGAGAGAGAGAAAAGTGGCAGGTAATAGAGCAATTTTGAGCCCAGGAGGTCGAGGCTACAGTGAGCCATATTCATGCCACTGCACTCCAGACTGAGCAACAGAGCAAGACCCTATCTCAAAAAAAAAAAAAAAAAAAAAAGAGTGTTCAGGGGTCACACAGAGTTGGGTTTGAATGACACTTGGTAACCATGTGACTGTGGTCAAGGTATTTAACCTCTCCCAGTGTTTGCTCATTAATTGCTTAGTACATTGTAGAGGCTCAGTAAATAAATGGTAGCTACCACTAACCACCTCTACCATTCTCAGGGGATTCAAGGTCATACATATATTTTTCAGAGCTGGAGAAAATTAGTTTCATCAGATGGAAAAGTTGCCATGCGTTTTGCTTTCCCAGCCCAGACCCTATGGAGGCACTCTGAGTTTGAATTTTTTTGTTGCCTTCCCCTAAATTGATATTTAAGCAGTTTGCAGACCACTGGAGCTGGGCCCATGGGGATTGTCTGGTCTAGTTCATCCTATTGTAGACATGGGAAAACTGAGGCTAGAAGAGGATCAGAACTTGCTCTCAGAACCCTTAGGAATCTCTAGCTCCATCAGACCCTATGGGAGCCTGAGTGGGGAGAATTGGTGCTAGGAGAAATTCATCAGTATCCATAGAAGGAGGATAAGAACGAGGACTAAGGCCAGCCTAGATCCAGGGTTCTGGGTCCCTCCCCTTTCCTGGGTCCAGTTCCCACCCTGTGGGCAGGGCTCAAGTTACCTGAAGCAGGAGCCTCTCATCAGCTATGATGGCCGCCTTGGTCCAGTCAATGACCTCGGAGAAGGGCAGCTCCCAGCGGGGACTGAGAAGCACTGGGATGCAGCCGGCCTAGGGGGCGGGGAGGTCAGAGGGAGCCCAGCCCCACCCTGCACAGACTCACCCCACGCCCCCAGTTCCCAGTTGCCCTTGGGGGCACGTGGCAAAGAGGACAGGAAAATGGGGTTTTTCCTAGAGGGGAGGTTACAGTTGTTCTGCAGAGGGTGCAGTGAATGGGGACACAGGCACAACTGAGGCCAGGAGTAAAGAAGCAGGCAGCTCACTGCCCCTTCTCATTGGCCTGGACCCAGAGGACCTGCCAGCTCATGAGTGCCGAGGGACAGAGGACTGGTGACACTCAAATTGCAGTTGTACCTGCAAGGCTTGGAGGAAGCGCGAGGCAGCCTGGGGACGGTGGCCAGAGATGAGGCAGAAGGTGGCATTGGGCAGCATCTCCCAGCGCTGGGTCCTAAAGAGGCACAAAGGGAGGTCCCTGCACACGTGAGCCTGGACAGTGCCCCTCGCCCCACCAGGCTCCCTCAGTGGGAGCACCCCACACCCCAGGACCCCACACTCACACTCCTAAATATGCAAACCCATTTATGCATATGCACAGCTGCACACTGACACACTAACACAAACACAAGCCTCACACCAGCCGTGCATCTGCGGTTAGACTAGGAGTCAGGAGCCCTGTGTTCCAGCTCTGCCTCTGCCCTTGATGGTCTTAGTTAGATGCTTCCCTTGCCTTCTCTAGCCTCAATTTCCTCATCAGTAAAATGGGAGGAAGCAGGTCCTGACGTTTCCGAGGCCCTGCCTGACTTAGACATGCACGTCAGCCCTCCCCGACTCTGCCACACGGAGACTCTCGGCACCACTCACCTTCGCGGCCTCCGAGCCCAGCCCTCCCCCCCACCCTGAGAGCCAGGCCTATGAAAGGCTCCTCTGTCCTGAGGTGGGCTGGGCCCCCAGCCTGGAACCACACAGGAAGCTGCTGCCCAGAGGCCCCTGGCCTAGAGGACAGGCCACCTCTGTTCCTTCCACTCAGCCCCCAGCCTTGTCCCAGGGCCACACTCAGGCTGTGTGTGCCTGTTGGGGAAGACAAGAGTCCCAGCCTCCTCAGAGCCACCCCCAGGGGACCATCGCCTGTGAAACCAGCTCGGGGAGGGATAAAGGGAGAGACCAGGACACAGGCCTGCTCAGTGTGGGACTCATGAGTAGGGCCCAGAGGGTCCTAGGACCCTCCTTTGTTACAGCCTGTTTGGCTCTGAGCCTGAACCTCCAAGAGGCAGACCTGGGATACTTAGGCAGCCTCAGGCCCATGCCCCACTGAACAGATGGGGAAAGTGAGGCCCAGAGAGACACAAGGACTGGCTCAGGGTCACAGATAGGGTTGGGGTGGACCTGGGACTAGAACAGAGATGTGCCGGCTCCTGACCCCGAGTTATCTGAACCACCCCAGAGCTGCTGCTTAGTGGTCTCCCGGGGGACCCCAGCCTTCTTACTCCTCCCGCCATGCTTAAGTGTCCACCAGGCCCTTCCTGGAAGAAGCCACAAGTTAGCATCAGGACACCCTTCACCTCATTAAAAGCCACAGCGGAGGCCAACCAGGTACAGCCCCCTTCACCCCCAAATCAACCTCTAAGAAACTGAAAACCTCTAGGTTAAGGCTGAATAAAGTGCACCACTGAGCCTTAACCTCCCTGGATCCTCTGTGCCTTTAAGATCCCTTCTCCCTCACATTGGAGGGCCCCTCCCTGCCTTGTCAGCCTGAGGAAGTCCTCCTACTCATCTTTTTCTTTGAGACAAGCTCTTGCTCTGTCACCCAGGCTGGAGTGCAGTGGTGTCATCACAGCTCACTGCAGCCTCGACTTCCCAGGATCAAACTATTCTCCTGCCTCAGCCTCTGGAGTAGCTGGGACTACAGGCTGTGCTACCATTGTCTGGCTATTGTTGTTATTATTATTATTATTATTATTATTATTATTATTACTATAGCTCTGTTGCCCAGGCTATCTCAAACTCCTGGCCTCAAGTGATCCTCCTGTCTCAGTCTTCCAAAGTATTGGGGTCACAGACATGAGCCACTGAACCTTGCTTTCTCCTATGCTGTCTTAATGTCTAAGCTGAAACATCACATCCTCTAGGAACCCTCCTTAATCTCTCTAGAGATGGCTCTCTCTGCTCCCACCTCCCAGTGGACTGCAGTGGTAATGATCAAGCTAACCTATATTGAGTATGTACTTTGCTTCAGGCACAGTCCTAAGTGCTTCATATGTATTACCTCAGTTCATTCTCACAGCACCTCTTTGAGATGGGGGGTATGCACTGTTATTATCTCATTTTACAGATGAGAAAACTGAGGCCCAAAGAGGTCACACAGCTCTTAAGTAGAGGAGTCAGGCAGGCAGCCTGCGCAGCCACTCTGCTTAACAATGTGTGTCGAACAGTTGACTTGCCTGTCTCTCCTACAAGTCTGAGCTCCTTGAGGATGGGGCTGTACCTCCCCCATCAGTATCCCCAGGGCCTAGCAGGGTGCCTGGTGGAGAATGGACACTCAGTGGGTGCTGCCTGAATGCTCAGTGTGACACTAGGAAATACATCTGGGACCAAGAGACCAGGTATCCAGGAGGTCAATTTCAGCAGAAATTCTAGTGATGGAGCAGGCTGAGAGTGCAGCCAGTGTGTGGTCTCTGGAGGTGGTGAGTTCCTTATCAGTAAAGGCAAATAAGTAGAGGCTGCATGAGCACCTGTGTTGGGGAACAGGGAGTGTGTTACAGAGGGAGTTTGTGCATCTGTATGGTGACCACTGATGAAGTCTTAGGATTCTGTGGCCACATAAAGTATGCCATAGACTCAGGGCCTCAGTGCCCAAGGGTGGCCAACGTGGCTGTACCCATGCCTCAGAGTTCTACTGGGGCCTGGCCAGAGGCAGGGCCACGTTGTGACTTCCATGTGGCCTAGGCACTTTGGCCTTCACAGTCCCTCCTGCCATAAAAAAGGAATATAGTTCATAACTGTGTTGGTATGAAAACAAAGAGTATTATATATTAAAACATTTTCTGCCAGGTGAGGTGGCTCACGCCTGTAATCTCAGCACTTTGGAAGGCTGAGGCAGGCAGATCATTTGAGGTCATGGGTTCGAGACCAGCCTGACCAACATGGTGAAACCCTGTCTTTACAAAAATTAAGTAGGCGTGGTGGTGGACACCTGTAATCTCAGCTACTTGGGAGGCTGAGGCAGGAGAATTGCTTGAACCCAGGAGGTGGAGGTTGCAGTGAGTCAAGATTGTGCCACTCAAGTCCAGCCTGGGCAACAAGAGCAAGACTTTCTCTCAAAAAAAAAAAATTTTTTTTTCTTCTACCTGAAAGTTTATTTTTAAATCTGCCTTTTTTTTTTTTTTTTTTTTTTAATTTTTTGAGACAGGGTCTCACTCTGCTGCCCAGGCTGGAGTGAAGTGGTATGATCTCAGCTCACTGCAGCCTTGACCCCCTGGGCTCAAGCAATCCTCCCACCTCAGCCTCCCAAGTAGCTGGGACTATAGGCATGTACCACCACACCCAGCTAATGCTTGTAATTTTTGTAGAGACAGGGTCTCGCCATATTGCTAAGATCAAGCAATTCACTCGCCTCAGCCTCCCAAAGTTCTGGGATCACAGGCGTGAGCCACTGCACCTAGCCCTGATTTTCAAAAAATGAAAATATTTTCATGGGCCTATAAAAGTATCAGGGCCCTAGGTACTGACTGCACCCCTTGTTCCCAACGGATACAGGCTGGGGGACTTTAAAACATGCATCAAATTTATGTTAAAATATGGGGGAGAATACATATATTGCTTGTACACACTCAGGGTTTCTCAGAAAAGACACTGGAAGCGGTGTTTGGCTCCAGGCAGAAAAACTGGGTGGCCAGGGAGAGGGGCCGAAGGGAGGCTTTTCACTCTATGCCCCTTTGTGCCTTTGGAATTTTGTAACATGTGAATGAATTACCTATTCATAAAAATGAATAAATAACAATTTGAATGGGTGGAGATTTATTCCAAAGCAACAAGAGACTGTTCAACCAAGGTGGAAAAACATGGGCTTTGGAGCCAAAAGTATAGGGTTGAATCCCAACTCCACTGCTTCCAAGCGCGTGATTAGAAAAGTGAGGGGCCCTTGGAGAATGGGGGACCTTGTCACCCTGGGCTACTCCACCTCTCTGAGCCTCGGTTTTCCATTCCCTGACATGGAGATAATAATACCTCCCTTGAAGGGGGCATGAGAGGATCAGCACTGACTTAGGTAAAGTGCCTGGCACAGCACCTGGCCCAAGGCAGGCACTCCTCAGATGTAGCCTCCTCCCCTCCCAACTCTGGCCCGGCTGAGGGAATGTGGGGCAGTGGCAGGGGCTGTGAATGGCCTCTTTCTCTGGCCAGCACTTGTTTATTCAGGCTATCTCTCTCACTCTGTCCCTATACTGTCTGGCCCAGGCAGCTGCCTGGCACTTTGGAGAAACTGAGGCTCAAGCTACTCAAGAGATGACAAGTCCCATCACCTGCAGGGAGGCCGAGGACAAAGACAAAACTCCTTGAGGGTCAGAGGACAAGGCTACCAAGCTTTGCCCCTGGGAAATAAAACTTATCACAAATGCTACTCAGAGGGTCACCCACACTAATTAGAAGACCATAGCCAGCTCTTGTCAATTTCAGATCCATTAGTAAACATTTAATGAGCACCTACCTGCTGTGTGCAGCTCCCTAACTTTCAGTTTCTCAAAGTTCAGACTGAAATTGCTTTCAGGTTCACCAATAACGAACTGTGCATAACGGTAACTAAAGTCAGCCAAAAGAAGAACTTCCTTTAAGAATACCTGGGTGCCTCAACAGAAAAGTGAGGCACAAGAGCCTTGTCGCCCAAAGCGAGCTTCTGCCTGAGCTCAAGCTGCAAGGGCTTGGGTGAGATCCCTGACTTTTCAGGCTTCCTCCTTGGAGACCACTAGGGATGGGTCCTGGCAGAAGGACCCTGGGCCTGACCGGGACAAGTCCTTTTCTACTCCTGATTGTGAGGGCTCCCTGCAGGCCTCCTTCTACCTTCAGAAAGTGGAAAGATCCCATTCCCACAAGAGCCTTTTGACCTGAGAGACATCCCCAAGCAGAGGCAAGAATCCCTGGAGGGAGCGGAGCTCAGAATAATTGATGTTGTTCAAGCAGAGAACAGGGAGAGAGACCTGTGAGAGGATACCACAGTGACAGTTCCTTACTCAGGTCTGCCCCTGGATGGGGTGGATACAGAGGGAACCCTCCGCCACCAGGGCCCTGGGCAACCTCAGAAGGACTTCCATTCTTGCCTGCCCAGCCAGTCTTTGGAGACTGCTGGCCTGCTGAGGACACAAAGGAATTAGAGTGCTTAGAGGACAATCTCTATCACCTGAGGTGCATCACCCCAACTAGCCCAGGTGGAAAAGAGTTTCCGCACAAGCTCACCAGCTCCCACAGGCCTCCAGCCCTTTATACATATCAAGGCCTTCTCACTGGCAGAAAGTTCTTCCTTATATCTGACCTACGTCATATTTGCTGTAACCAAAGGCTGTTTCCTTGAGAGGTTAATCCCCAAAATGAGAAATAGGAGCAGCTTCCACCTGTGACTGTGAGGCCCCTCTGAGGCATTTGATGAGTGATCATAAACATTTGCTTAAAACTCAGAATTCTCATACTGAAGGCTTTGGAGACAGGCAATTCTGGATCAAAACACTGGCTCCTTCCGGCTGGGTGGCCTCAGAAAAATTACTTAACCTGTCTGAGCTTTAGTGTCTGGTACACAAACACTTAAATGCTAACAACTAGTATCTTTTATTATAATGATGATTTATATAAGTGCTTAGCACAGAGTAACCACTATATATATGTATGTGGAAAAAAAAAGTATTAGGGTAGGAGGTTTGGAATAAGGGAGAGGAAGTAAATAGGAGTGAGTTGTGTTTTATGTTTTTTAAAGATTCCCAGGGGAGAACTCTAAAACCTACGTTAGATACCCCTTTGCAAAAAGTGCCCATCTTAATGGAAGTGCTCTCTGCCATCTAACCTGGCTCCCTCCTGCTGCAGTTGAGGCCTAAGGCTGCCAGGACTACCTGGTTCTCCCATCCCAGTCCTAACTTCTACGCTCACCTCTGGGCTTGCATCTATCCCAGCCCCATCCCATGCAGCCCCCAAGGCAAAAGGTTCACTTACTGCCCAGGTCCAGGGTCTTGCTCACAGCGCCCATCCCAGGGGCAGGCAGAGGAGTTGCTGCCTGCTGTGCGCCACCCACCCCTCTCCTCTTCCAGGGCTAGCAGGGCTACCCCGCGCTGGGGGCTGTGTTGCCGCAGCTGGCCAGGAGCCCCACCTCGCAATGGGTGGGCTTCAGGGAGAAAAGGGAGGGCCACATCAAAGCCAGCACGGAAGGAGTCCACTGTGGGGCTGGCCTCGGCCACCATAGCCTGTCCCAGCTGGAAGGTCCTGGGGCAGGAGGCTGGGTGGAGACGAAGGACCAGATGGTTCCTGCCCCTGTTCCATTGCAGAGGCATTGAGCTGCACTCTCCAGTCTGGGCATCCAGGCTGAGGAGGAGGAGGAGGCAGGCCCCAGCAGGGCTGAATGTATGGAAGCGAGAGTCCTCAATGGAAGCCAGGATCTTGCGATGGGTCTCAGAGATCGGTCCAGCCGCTGGATACACGAATACCTTGAGGCCATCACCCCTGCACTTCGAGGTGTCAAAGCAGGATCCCCAGTTGCAGCTGCCACCATGGGGGGCTCGAGGAGGCTGAGCGGCATCTTCTGGGAGCTCTCCAGGCTGGGAGAAGCTCTGCAGGAGGTCTGCGTCCAGCCAGCGAGGCCAGCCTTGGGGAGCCCGGGGCCGAGGTCTGGGAGGCAATGCCAGGCGGAGAAGGGAGAAGCCTCCCAGCAGGACGAGCAGGAGCCAGGAGGCTGACAGTGCCAGCCAGACGGACTTTCTTCTCCACGACTGCATGTGGCCACCCACAGCCAGGGCTGGGGAAGCTGGGAGGCCTCTGCCAGCAAGCAAGCAGGAAGAGCAGGGCCTGTCGGGGGAAACAGGAGCTGGGACCCGCCTGCTAGCCCTGCGCTTTCATTGTGCAGATAAGAAGACTGAGGCCCATGGAGACCAGGCCACCTGTGTAAGGTCAGACAGTGAGTCACAGGCCAGGCAGGAGGAGGCCAGGTAGGACCCAGCTTGCTGGCCTGGCCCCCTGCTCTCAAGACTCTGCCTCCTCGGCCTTGGACAACCAAGCCACCGTTTGCCCTCCCAGTAGGGACCACTGCCCCGGCGCACTGCTGTGGCTGACGCAACCCCTGTCCAGAATGCAGGGCCGTGTCCCTCTGCCCTGCTGGCTGCACCCCTTGACCTTACCCTCAACTGAGAGGAGGGCTGTCTGCCAGGCCATGGGGACCAGTCAGGGCTCCCACAGGGGGCGGCTTAGCCAGGGACAGGCTGGAGGGAGCAGGGCTGGTCTTCCCACTCCTCCCCTCGCCTGAGCAGCCCTGGCTGCCCCTGTGCCTGCTGGCAGACACTCCTGGGCTGTGGGCATGTGGCTGGAGCTAAAATTAGACCCTGCGTCCCATGTGGATCATCGGAGTCAGCTGAGGTCACAGCCTGGGTGCAGCTGGTGCCCCCGCTTTGGAGAGCCAGGCGGGCGTGGGGTCCTGGTCCTCATCCACTCTGCCGCTGCCCCAGCTCAGGAAGTGTAGCCCCTCTTCCCTGCAGCCCAGCAGCTGCCCTGCACTGTCTGGCTTGGAGCTATCACAGTGCAGAGGCCAGGGCCGCTGTGCCAAGCCCCTCAAACCCTGCGGCATCTCTTCCCATCCCTCTCCAATCGGCAACTGGCCGGTCTAGACCTCTTTCCTTAGGAGCAGCCTGGCTCCTCCCCTACCAGCCCTGATTCGCTCCTGGCTGGGAGGCAGGGACTCCATTTAACCCCTTCCAAACCAGTTTCCTCAACTGCTAATCCAACCAGCAAGTACCGCAACTCACAGCTGGCCATGAGCTGTCACAGCCTCTGTCTCAGTCCTCTAGCCACCCTCCAAGGCAGAGGTTTACCTGTCATTTTTTACAGATGAGAAAAGCTCAGAGAGGGGATGGACTCTTCCTAAGGTGACCTAGCTAAGAAGTGGCAGGGTGGGATTTGAACCCTGAGCTCCTGATCGTTGGTCACCCCAGCCGTGGACCCTGTGGGTGGAGCAAAAGCTAGACCCTGCACCCGCTGTGGGCTATCAGAGTCAGTGGAGGTCAGAGCCTGAGTATGGGGACTCTACAATCAGCAGATGAGATGCGTGAGGAGTTAAGGGGTGGAGGTGGTGGAATTGGATAAGGTGCCCCCAACTGTCCCCAAGATTGGTCTCTCTTCCTTCAGCAGCCCCACCCCCAATCTCCTGCAACTCCCAGCCTTTGGCTCCAGTCTATATGGAAAGTTCTCTCTGCACTTGACTCTCTGTGAATCCAGGCCCCATGGAGGGATTTCCCTGGTCAGTGCCCTATGAGAGGAGTCAGGAGTGGGTGATGCCATCCACTGAGGAATCACTGGAGTGGTGGGGGAGATACATTCTGGCCACAAGGAGCCCTGGGCTCATAACGGGAGGCATGGGGAATCGCAGACTTGAGTGGGCTCTGCCTCTTCCCCTGACTGCCTCAGGGGTGTGGGGCCTCTGTCCCCTTATCTCTGGGATGGGCATAATCTCAGCCAGGAATGGGTTGCAAGGTTGACCCAGGCCTGTCCCCTGGGGTCCCTCACAAGGGGTGGCCTCCTTTCCCCTGCTTGCCTCCCTTTGATCTTGGAGGGCTGCTGATCAGATGAATGAGCCACCATGGAACGTGTTGCCCTCAGTGAGCAGCCAGTCTGAGACTGTCCTAAAAATGGCCTACAAAGGGGAAACCGGCCTCTCGGCACTAACGGCTCAGTCACTCAGTGATGAACCGTGGCTCCTGCACACCTCAGTTCTCCGACACTGAGAGGCCCCCACACAGGCCACTGGCTGCTTCTACTTCTCAAGGCCCCCTCTCACCATGCCCAGCCAACTCCTCATCCTGCAGGAGTCAGCTAAAAGCTCCCTCCCCATTGGAGAAAGAAGCTTCTCCAGTGTTCCTCAGGCTGGGTTAGAGCCCCCTTCTAGGTCCTCATGCCACTCCTTCATCCCTCTATCCCCATACGCAGTCATTCATTCATCTAACAAACAGGAGTGTTGAATATGGGCCAGGTTCTGAGCTAGGCCGGGGACACGACGCTGAGTAAGAGTAATCATAGCTGACACTTGTATTGCGCTTACCATGTGCCAAGCATCTCTCGTTTGTATCAGCTCGTTTCATCCTTGCCCCAACCCTAGGAGAGAGAAGCTGATGATCCACATTTTGCAGATGAGAAAACTGAGGCCCAGGGAGCTTAGGTAAATTTAAGCTGCCTAAATTCTCATGGCTTAGCCAAGACTTGGACCCAGGTAGTGCACTCCTAGAACCACTGCACCATTCCAGCTCCCAACAGTGAGGGAGACAGATGAGCTTGCTATCCTGGAGAAGACAATTACAGAACTAGGCAATTGCAGGCAATTCCAGAATGAGGGGAGGGGACCCTGAGAGTACACAGAAAGGCTCCCTTGCCCAGGGGACCAGAGAAGCCTTCCGAGGAAATGATACCTACCCTAAGACCTGAAAGAGAGCAATGTGGTTTTTAGAAAAATCACTGTGGCTTTCTGTGTGGGGACAGACAGGAAATGGCAGGACTGGAGGCAAGGACAGATTTTTGGGGTCTGTCACCCCACAAGTCTCTCATTCATTCAACAGCTATTTAATGAACCCCTACTGCGAGGCCAGGCAGGTCTTAAGGACAGTAAGCAAAGCAGAAAAAATCTTGCCCTCCTGGAACTTACCTTCCAGGGAGGGGAAATAAGCAAGAAGAGAATGAATAAATATCTCATGCTATTTGGCAATAACCACTGGAGAGATGGGATGAGTTGCAATGTTAAACAGAATTACAGGAGGCCTCATCAAAAAGCTGGCATCTGTGGCCTGGTGCGATGGCTCACATCTGTAATCCCAGCACTTTGGGAGGTTGAGTGGGCAGATCACTTGAGGCCGGGAGTTCAAGACCAGCCTGCCCAATAAAGCAAGACCCTATCTCTACTAAAAATACAAAAATTAGTTGGGTGTGGTAGTGTATGCCTGTAATCCCAGCTACTCGGGAGGGTGAGGTAGGAGGATTGCTTGATTCCAGGAACTTTAGGCTGTGGTGGGCTGTGATGGTGCCACTGTATTCTAGCCCAGGCACAAGAGGAAGACCACATCTTTTAAAAATGTAAAGCAAATAAAAATAAATAAGCCAGGCAAGGTGGCACACACCTATAATCCCAGCTACTCAGGAGGCTCAGGCAGGAGGTTGTCTTAAGCCCAGGAGTTTGAGATCAGCCTAGGCAACATAGCAAGGCTGTCTTTATTGTTTTTTTAAAGACATATATATATATGCATTCAACAAATATTTGTTGAATGAGTGAAGGAATGGATGGATGGACAAAGTTGAGATGGCTAGGAGGCCAAGGCCAGCTGGTTTGGGGTTTGGGGAAATACCTAACCCCATTCTATTAATAGCTCTGTGTATCCCCCATCCCAGCCCTGAGCACCCTGGCTGGCTCCTGCCCATGCCCATATTGGTGCACACACAGAAGCCTTCTCCTACCTTCATCCCGGTGGGGGAGGCTCTCAGGCCAGCTGAAACCTGGCCTTGTCTGGACTGCAATTCACAGGGTTGCCCTGGGGTTTGGATGGAGGAAGAGAAGGCAGGGGCATCCTGGCAGGCAGGACTGAGATCAGGGATTTGTCAGGGGCCTCCATCAGGCTTTTCAGTGCTCAGTAAAGCCACCAGGAGCCCCCATCCTATACCTGGGCTCTGGTCAATGGGACAGAAGCAAATACTTCGGGGGATGGGAATGAGCCAGAGCAAGAAGGAGAGGACAGCACCGAGGAGAGGGCCTAGCCTCTGGTGCAAGGTAGGCGGCTTCCTGGAGGAGGCAGAAGACTTGTTCCTTACAGGACAAGATTGAAGTAGGCCTTTGTGTGAATTTGAGAGCTCTGAGCACTGCAGTGTGTGTCATAGCTGTGGTGGTGTCACAGCTGCCTGGGTGCTGCCTGGGCATGGGGGTGCTTCCTGCCTGAAGCACTAGGTGTCATATTGGCCAGGACACCCAGGCAGAAAATGGGGCCTAATAATACCATGTTTCACCTGAAGTGTTTCCTCTCTGCACCCTGCTTGGCCTTCCTTCCTCCCTTCCGCTTCAGGCTGGGCCTGAAATCTCCAGAAGTAATGGCCCTGGTCCTCAGAGAAAGGGACCCAACAGTAGAGTTCTGTGGTTAAGAGGACTTTAGCTCTTTCACAAGCTGGATGTTCCTGTGCAAGTTACTTCACCTCTCTGTGCTTCTGTTTCCTATCAGTAAAATGGGGATGCTAATAATAGCTCCTTCCTTAAAGGCTTGCTGGGAAGGAAATTAAATAAATGAGATAGTGAGTGTGTAACATTCAGCACCCCATGCCTGGTGTGGAGCAGGCCCCTAACAAATGGCATCCTTCTGTCCCTCCTCAGACCCAGGGAGGTGAGACTCGCCCAAGGGGCGCCAAGGTATCCATCTGGCTGGATCAGGACCAAGACTTGGGCTTCCCCCTCCCTGTTCCTCTTGCCGCACCTCCACCTCCATTCAGGAAGAAAAAAGATACTTGGACTCCAGGAAATGATCACCGTGGAAACCCATCTGCTGCTTCTTGTCTATGGCTGTTTGTTCCTCCAGCTCTGGGCTGCCTGAGTGTCTCACTGCAGAATTAGCAAGTGTGGAGGCTGGAGGATTCCGGAGGCTCTGGGGTCGCAGTTCTCTCTTGCCTGAGCGCAGAGATAACGACAAGCCACGGTGAATCCCAAATTCTGCAATATCAATCAGCTCCAGATGAATGTCTGCCCCCGTAGATCCCCGCCTCCGACAGGATGCAGAGCAGTTCCCGCTCATAGCAAGTAACCACACCTGAACCCCACAGGGTACAGGGTCAGGGAAGCCATGCGGTGGACCTGGGGATGGGGGATGGGGAAGCAGGTTCCAGCCCCTGCGCCTCTTCTAGGCATGGCTATGTGACCTTGGACAAGTCACACCCTTTCTCTGGGCCTTCATTTTCTTTTTTAACATATTTTTTAAATTTGCTTTTTATTTTAAAATTTGTTTTAGAAACAGAGTCTCACTCTGTCACCCAGGCTGGAGTGCAGAGGTGCAACCACAGCTCACGGGAGCCTCAGACTCCTGGGCTCAAGTGATCCTCTCACCTCGGCCTCTTAACACACTGGGACTACAGACGTGAGCCACCACACCTGGCCTCGGGTTTTTCTTTTCTTTTTGTCTTTTTTTTGAGATGGAGTCTTGCTCTGTCACCCAGGCTGGAGTGCAGTGGCACGATCTCAGCTCACTGCAGCCTCTGCCTTCAAGCAATTCTCTGCCTCAGCCTCCTGAGTACCTGGGATTACAGGCACCTACCACCACGCCTGGCTAATTTTTGTATTTTTAGTAGAGACAGGGTTCTCCATGTTGGCCAGGCTGGTCTCGAACTCCTGACCTCAGTGATCTGCCAGCCTCGGCCTCCGAAAGTGCTAGGATTACAGGCATGAGCCATCGAGCCCAGCCTTCATTTTTTTTTTTTTTTTCTGAGACAGAGTCTCGCTCTGTCACCCAGGCTGTGGTGCAGTGGTGCGATCTCCGCTCACTGCAACCTCCGTCTCCCGGGTTCAAACGATTCTCCCACCCTAGCCTCCTGAGTAGCTGGGATTACAGGTACCCACCACCACTCATGGCTCGGTGAGCTCCAAAATTATAATCCTCTAAATGTAAAAAAAAAAAAAAAAAAAAATCACACAAATACACAGTGAGCACATCTCTGTTAATTTCACTCATTAGAAAAATTAATTTCTAATTTTTCTGTTTTTAGTAAAG